TTCTAATCATTTGGCATTGATGATAAGTCTGAGATTATAGAAATAACTACAGGCTTAATGTCGAACACGTTGATCAAAATGTCGACTACGTGTCAGAGTTGAAGGCACCAGTTAGCGAAAGCTAACTCCATTTTATTTTACTTTTGAGATTTGATTTATGTTGATCCTTAAGACATGGATACGTATCAAACGTAGTTTTCCACACATATCCAAGAGGACCCACGATTATCACTTTACTACAATTTTATTGGTTTAGCAAACCAGATACATATCTGATATCTTATCAGTATCTATAGAAAAATAAAAACAATGACTTTTGATAGATCACATCTCAATTAAGAAATGACTTTTCTTAAACCAATAACCAGTAAAAAGTTTATCCAAGTCAAAATGATGAACATTTGGTTCCGTCTGACTGAGAGACATAGTTGCTAGGATTATTGTTCTTTTTTTTTGGCTTGAAGGATTTTATATTGTTTCAAACGCCAAGCGTATTTCAAAATTTTATTAAATTACCGAAGATGATTCCTTTTAAAGAAAAAAAAAAGATCAACATGAAGAGGTTGTAAGACGTAAATGCTAATGCAAATGCACAAGAAAAATAAATATGATCTAATTTCATGAAATGTTGGCATAATATAAGATCTTTATTCTGTTTACAGGGGATGATTCTCTTAACAATGGCGGTAACAGTAAAATCCCTAAGACCGACATGCGAAAACGGGGTATGCAACAAAGCCTCCTCCTTACAAATAACATTTTTCTACATATCCCTCTATACCATAGCTATTGGAGCCGGTGGAACAAAACCTAACATTTCCACATTTGGAGCGGACCAATTCGACAGCTATAGCATTGAAGAAAAAAAACAAAAGGTTTCATTCTTCAATTGGTGGATGTTTAGCTCTTTTTTGGGCGCGTTATTTGCAACATTAGGGCTCGTCTACATCCAAGAGAATCTCGGATGGGGTTTAGGTTATGGCATTCCTACCGTAGGACTCTTGGTTTCTCTTATTGTGTTCTATATCGGAACACCATTTTACAGGCATAAGGTTGTCAAATCAGATAATTTGGCGAAAGATTTGGTTCAAGTTCCTATCGAGGCATTCAAAAACCGAAAGCTTCAGTGTCCTGATGACCTCTTGGAGCTTTATGAGCTTGACTCTCATTATTACAAAAGCAATGGTAAACATCAAGTTCATCACACTCCCGTGTTCAGGTCAGTGTTGCATACCATCTCATTATAGAATTTATTTATTTCTTTTAATTTATTTCTCATAAAAAAAAAAAAACTTATCTCAAATTCTGATTCTAGATAAACGGATAATCTTTTTTGGTCCTCACCATTAAATATATAGAAAAGGAAAAACCAAGAGAGCATGATTGTAGTTTGACTCCTTCACAGAGAATCATAACCCAATAGAACCATTGGATATAAACTCTATCAAAATTATGCCTTTTGTGTCTGGTGCTGCTGGTAGGTTATATGAAGTGGAATATATACAATGTTGTTTTTCTTTTTATTAATATATCTAAGCTAGTGTACCTGATTTAGACAAAAAAAAAAAAAAAAAAAAAAAAAAAAAAAAAAAAAAAAAAAAAGCTAGTGTACCTGCTCTGTAGAATCTTTTAGTAGATGGTCCCCAATTCTCACCTTCTACACGTTAATGTGTTCTCCAATATCACCCCACTACAGTTTCGTGCCGAAATCATTTCACATTACAAAATCTACCAACTATAGAAAACTGAAGATATCACAAAAATATTGATACAATTTTATGTGCGTAGCTTTATTTGTTGGCATATGAAATATTAAACATTTTTTTGGAACTGATATGACATATTCCTTCATGGCAATTTAAAAGCTAAAATAAGTTTATAGCATCTCATCTACATTTAGAAAACTATCATAGACAAGACAAGACACAAAGTCATTTTGAATGACTATGGAATGGATAGATTTAAATAAATTAATAGTATGGATTTTGTTATTACAGGTTCTTGGATAAAGCGGCCATTAAGACAAGTTCAAGAGTGTTACCATGCACGGTGACAAAAGTGGAAGTGGCAAAGCGTGTGCTAGGACTTATCTTTATATGGCTTGTCACTTTAATCCCAAGCACCTTGTGGGCACAAGTCAACACTCTTTTCGTCAAACAAGGGACCACGCTGGACCGAAAAATTGGATCCAACTTCCAGATCCCCGCAGCTTCACTGGGAAGCTTTGTTACGCTCTCGATGCTTCTCTCTGTGCCCATGTACGACCAATACTTTGTTCCCTTCATGCGCAAGAAAACCGGAAACCCTAGAGGGATCACTCTACTCCAAAGGCTAGGGATAGGGTTTGCGATACAAATTGTTGCAATCGCGGTTGCTTCGGCCGTGGAGGTCAAGAGGATGCGCGTGATAAGGGAATTTCACATAACTAGTCCGAAAGAAGTTGTGCCTATGAGCATTTTCTGGTTGCTCCCTCAGTACTCTCTTCTAGGTATTGGGGATGTGTTCAACGCGATTGGTTTGCTTGAGTTTTTCTATGACCAGTCACCTGAGGAGATGCAGAGCCTTGGAACAACGTTTTTCACCAGTGGCATCGGTCTTGGGAATTTCTTGAACAGCTTCTTGGTGACAATGATTGACAAGATCACGAGTAAAGGTGGAGGGAAGAGTTGGATTGGGGATAATTTGAATGATTCGAGGCTTGATTACTATTATGGGTTTCTAATGGTGATTTCGATAGTGAACATGGGATTTTTCTTGTGGGCAGCGACCAAGTATGTTTACAAGAGTGATGAGACCAAAGAGTTGAGTGGAGGATGTGTTCAAATGGAGGCAAAAGCCTTCGAGACATCTCCCCTTAGTATCTAATTATAACTACGAGAGATGTGTATATATATGGTTTTCAAGAAAATTTGAAGTTGTGATATTCTAATTAACATGATGAATAAAACTTTAGCAATTATTCTAGTCAAGCAATTAAAATTTGGAAGTACCAAGTTGTTACTCAAGTTCAATGGTTTTGTTCTACCTGTTGAACCCAGAGATCGATTCCCACTGGTCGCATATACTTGAACATTGGAGAATTTTCACATGATGTTGGTCTTAGATTTAACCAACGAAAAAAATCTATCAAGCAAGTTAACTTTGAAAAATATAAGTACCAAGTGGAATAGTATGTTCCCTTAGGACAAGGGATCATTAAGTACCATGGTATGAAGCAACCGTGACATTAGACCAAACTCAAAACATCACATCTCCTATAAGGATTCTATCTTTGACCCTAGATAAGCCTTCCAACCACAAGAGCTCTAGTCAATGGTCTTCAAATTACAATTTAGGTTTAGGGGATTGATTTTTGAATCTGACTTTTGAGTCCGACCTTTTTGCTTACTGTTTTAGGGATACGAATTCAACCGGCTGGGAAATATTTCCAACATCAGGATGTGTTAGAAACTTACAATTAGCGAGAACGTTAAAAAGCAAGTGTATTAGTGGGTGATTGGTTAGACTTTAGCTGTAGATTATTTGCTGTATAATTTTGGCTGTAAGTGTGTAAGCTGTAGCTGTATATTTTTTGCTGTAACTATAGATTTTAGGAATATCGAATTTCGACAGTAAATTATTAGTTGTAATTAAAAATTATGATTAGTAAATATTTGAATTTGTATTTATAAATTACATTTTCTTAAATTATATTATAGTTAATAAAAATATTTAATAGCAATTATATAATAAACAACAACACAAATTCATGCATATAGGTTAAATGGAATCTATATATAAACATATAAATCATTTATATAAATGTATAAAATATTTTATATGGTATTCATATAATAACTACATATTAATTGAAAAGAATATACACATATAAGTTTTTTCGTTCTATATATATATATATATAAAGTATATATAACAAACGAGACTATACATGGTATTTATATTATTAGTATATATCCATTTACATGAGAAAAGAAAAAATTAGAAGAGAAATAAAAAAACCTACAGCATTTAAAAGCAAAAAATATTAAACTGTAGAAAATTTAAGATCTACAGTCAAAACAAAAAGATTTTATTTTTTTGGGCTGTAACTTTAGAAAATAAACCTACAGCTTGATTGGCAACAATTTGGTCTTTACAAAAAATTTATGGCTGTAAAAGGTACTTACAGCCCAACCAATCACACCCTTAATTTCACGTTTTTCAACTTATAAAGCGGATTTGTTCCTTAACCCAGATTTGAATTTATAAATCTGAGTTGGCAAATAATAAAAGATTATATCCTTATTTTCTTGTTGTTAGGCCATTTTGCCAATATTAATGAAATTAAGGACTAGCAATTATGTCGTTATACCAATTATATCGATACTTTGGTGAGTAATTTACGAAAAATACGTTTTTTGGTCAAATATTTAATTTTCAAACTGATTTTTCTAACATCAATTTTATTTTACCATTTTTAAGCAAAACACATCCCCACCGAACATTGTTTGCATGAATCTGGTCAGCAAGAAGCTAGATTGATTAATTCGATACGCTAAGGAATTAATGGTAATATACAGCTAACACTTCACCCAACTAATAAACACTATATATATTACACGTATCTGCAGATCCAAAGCCAGCTATCACACAAAATTTGGTGCAAGTAGCTTTTTTATAGAGTTAAGTAACATTATGTTGCTTGGATTCTAGAATAACCAAAAAAAAAAGGAAACTCAGTTTCGTATCGTATGTATGACTCATTATTTTGATTTAAGCTACTTAAAATTAAATGCATCATACATGATACATGTACTTCATCAAGGTTAAATGAAACGATATTTTAACCTTATTTAATCATCAGTTATCTGAAATCTAGATAATACTACTACTTACCAACTAAACAATATTAATATACATTTGATAGATTAATAAGTAATGACAGGCTAGTCAAGACCAACCTTTAATTTCTCCCTTATATTTATTTAATTTAATTAATTAGTCACCGGATCACAGATTATCGAAATAAATTATATGTATTTGTATGTGTTTGTAGAATGATACAAATAAAATTTAACCGAAGTAAGAGTTGTTCTCACTTTCAATGTCGCCGTATTCTAAGGCTCTTGTGGTTGGTTGAGAGAAAACACAAGAAGATGGAGGAGGATGAGCCGTCGTAGGTTGTGGTGGAGTTGATGGTCTTTGAGGTGGTGGTGCAATGACGGAGACGCCACCGGAGTTGTGAAATCCGGCGACTTGGGAGTTGGAAGGTACGATCAAAGTGGCGACAGCTTCTCGTTGCTTGTACTTAAGAATCTCGGATCTTACGGCCGTGAGCTCGGCTTGTAAAGCTTGGACTTGTTGTTGTAGAGCTGAGATTGCTCCCATGCATCCGTACACCGGATCTCTTAGCCTCACGTTTGCTTCATACACAAGGCTATTTGCAGCGTCTGCTCTCTGGCTCTCAGGTACTTCCTGATTAGTTTGGAATTGTTTCACATTATGAGAATTGTGCTAAAATCATTATTATTCTGTTGATTAAAGATTTCATAGCAAAATACAGAGCAATCTCTAATAATCGTTTTAAGTATTGTCTAAATTATTTACAATAGAAAAATTATATGCGTCAAATAAGAATTAATCTCTTACATCGTCTAAGAGAGCGATGATGACCACTAGATTACCATCAATTGGTTATTAATTGTTACATGTGTTAAGGGTTCCAAGTGTGTATTATGCATGCTAAAAGTAAAATTATATGTGTTTTAATTTGAAATGGTTATTACCATTAGCATCTTGGAAACGTTGCTAGCTCCAAAGACTTTGTGGACGGATGCGAACTTATGAGGCTCATGTGGGGAAAAATATGGTGAAAAGGGACATTCTTGAGCACATCTACGGCGCAAAAGCTTGCAGGCAGCACAAGGCGTAATGGTGTTGAGAGTTCCAGGAGGACCCGACATTGGTCTTCTAATTCCTGCCATCTGATGAGGCCAAGCATCTGCTTCTCTTTTGATCTTCTTCCCTATCTCTTCAAATCTCTCCCTGAACACAAGGAACCGAAGAAGAGTTTATTTTTCAATAATAGCATGAATATATAGGACTGAAAGGTAAAAACCAACCATATCCACCAGTTGAGGGAACAAAATCTAAATCATTGTAAAGAGAAAAAGGGTTTCACTAATGAGATGTTCACTTCTTACCTTTCTCTTGACATTCAGGCATACTCTCAGAGAATCGCAAAGAAGGAAAAAATAAAAATAAAAATAAAGAGAAAAGGAGAAAGAAACAAAAAGAGAAATATTAAAGTCAAGTGACTCTTTAAAGAGGGTGTGAAGGAAGATAGCCAAGGAAGGCTTTAAAGGCAAGTAAAATACCAAGTGTAAGATTTAGTGATCACGATGTATATACATATATTGTATGTTTGAGTGTATGCATGATGAGCTGGCTTATAATAGAACTTTCTTATAAAGATGAAAAAAGGATTTGGTAGCTCGAGAGCCAGAATATAGTCTCTCTTTTAACATGAAAAAAACTGAAGATATCTAGTTACTAAAGACTGAAGAGCTGTATTCACTGCTTAAGCACGTGACCCGTGAGGGTTTTTTTTTTTTTTTTTTGACTTTACGAATCTGATCACACGTAAATATAAGTACTTAATTATGTAGTCATTCATTCATCGGTCAGGCAACCACAGATGGATTTCGTGCTTAATGCCTACTTTTTATGTTTTTGTTTTCCCATGGCCGCATGTGGACTTTTGCTTCACATTTATAGCACATTTCTTTTTTTCTTTTTCTTAATTAGGGCCGGGTGAATTAAAAAAATTTCAACTTTATATGATTCCAATTTTACAGATCCTCTTTTTTGGAAATCATATAAATCTAAACCGTTGCACACGAATGGACCGCCGGCTGAGTAGTTTACTATAGCTAAATAGTTTTTAAGGTGTATTATAGTAAAAAGTTGGTGAAGGATTTAGAGAAGATATTGTTAGATCATGTACTTCTTTAAAAAAAAAAAAAGAGTGAATGAGAATGATAGTTTGGTGATCTTGACATGTTAGTTTCTTGTCAAAATCAAGAAACCTCATCCTCTCTTGTATATAAGGACTCATTGTATATATGAGTTGTTATTTTGCAAATGAGTAACACATAATAATATTAAATTATTATAAATGTGTACGAATCGACTATATTTGTACGTATGCATGTATAGTTAGGTATGTATTTTGTATATGTTCATGTATCGATAATTCACAAATAGGAGAAGGAAGATGCAAAGAATTTTCGTCAAAGAAAAAAAAAATCAACAAATACCATAACTGATGAATGGAATTTTAGGTTTAGCAGTATAAGCCTAAACTCTCAATGATATTTACATTCTTATAAAATAAAAATAGAATTTATTTTTACTGTTATCCAGCTATCAATTTTAGGCCCATATACCGTCTCTAGGTCCTTGTTTGCAGATAGTACCAAAAATAGTCTTTTGAAGCGTAAACCAAATGTCCTCTTCGTTATAGCCCTACTCGAAACATGAACCAAGAACACACGAACTATCAACATCTCTTCTTTCTTTCCCTTTATTTAGAAAAATATAAATCTTACAATTCGGATGTGAGCAAGAATGCAAGATACAGAGCGGTGTTATATCAAAGTTTGTGGTGAAAAAAAGAGAGGGTGATATTGTCGTAGTTATATTATACATTAGAACAATTAGTATATTTCAAATTAAAATCGAATAGAAAGAAGAAGATTGCTTAGACTCTAAGAAAGCTTTGCACTTGTATGTATTCTTGTTTGACCCGTATTTGTAGCCTAAATCGTCGCCCCGTTGTTCTCTCTTCGTCTTTGTATTTTATATTAAATGCTTATGGTGTTAAGTTTGAGTTAGCAAAAAAAAATATTTAATGATAAATAAAACATAAATATATCTTTAGAATTTTTTTGTTTAACATCTTTCATTAGTATAAGGAAAATAAAATGTTCACAATAAATAATGAAACATAGCAATAATGAAACAGAGCAAAAGGAAAAGAAAGCAAAACAGAGCATAAACCATATGACTAGGCCGGAGAGAAAACTAGGGGTGTCAAAATGGGTAACCCGACCCGACCCGACCCAAACCCATATGGGTTCGAGTGTTTAATGGACGGGTTTGACCCGACCCATATATTTATATGGGTTGAATTTACATACCCAAACCCATTATTATAGAAATCCATTGGCTTAATGGGTTATATGAGTACCCATATATATGTATAATAAAATATATAAATAATAAAAATCCAAAAAAATAACATAAAATTGTAAACCAACAAAAGTTTTTAAATAATAAATTAAAAAAATCTAGATATTATACATATATTTTACTTTTTACTTTTATTTTTAGGTAAAATGTAAACTTTAATAGTTATTTTAGATATTTTACATATATAGTTGTAAAGAAAAGAAGATATTTTACATATATTTATATAAATTTTACATAATATATTAATATAGATATATATAAATTTTACTTTTTAGTTTTGGTTATGAAACCCATGGGTAACCCATGACCCTAATGGGTTTTACCCATTAAACCCATAACCCTAATAGGGTAACCCACTAAAACCCATTTATATATATGGGTAAAAAAATTCTACCCAAACCCACTAAAATCATGGGCGGGTTCGGGTAACCCATGGGTATTAACCCATTTTGACACCCCTAGAGAAAACCCATACGTCGGAACAGAGCATTAGTGACGTAGCCTACGTTCCGTTCATGTAACCAAGCTGACCCACCTATCGCGAGATATGAATTGAACCTTCCTTCCCGTGTAACACTACAAGCAATATCTTTAGAATTTAGTTATTCATTTGAAACTTTTGATTAAGTTATTCAAGCAATATCCGGAATGCAACTTAATTCTTCCGGATGACAACAATGAGACTAAGTTTTTTAACAAGAAAAAACGTTTGAAACTTTTTCCCAACCCTATCTCTTGGGACTTTTTTGCCTGGCCGTTATTCCTTGCTTCACAAATATAAGTGTTTTAGTAATTATTTTGTTGATCGAACTAGGGTTTAGCGGTATCAAAACATATAAAAAATCTCATTAACCCATTTTGTAATGTAATGAAACTTTTGCGGATTTTGATGGATCAGTCCTATAGGATCACAAACTTAAAGATGTTACAACAAAACATTTTTAACTTTTGAAAATGTCGAACCAAAGATATTTCAGCTTATAACCGTGGGTCTTGTGGATTGATCTCCCTTTTCTAGTCTTAATAAAAACTGTAGTCCCAACATAACCCATCCCATGAAGTGACAATTCTCCACTCCGTGGGCCTCAAACTCCGGTTAAAAGGCCTTGCTATTTTTACGTAGTTAACTAAAATTCTAGGGACAGGAAAAGATTAATATGGATTGATTGCATGGTTAAAATTAACACAATCCAATTAACAGTAACACATACTAATAGACAAATATATATTTGATAATTAATAAATATTTTCTTTTATAAGGAAAACAATAAGCAAGCCTACTTCCACCACCTCATTTTTTTAACTTCTTTTTCTGCCACACTTCTTTGCCACCAACTCATATGCCCCTTCAATGAATGATATATACCACTTAAAAGACTTCACGAATTAGATCCATCAAAACTTTTACCACGTGCGCATGAGTGGCCAAGGACTTTGACAGCCTTGGGTCAAGAATTAAATCCTAACTATAATTGTTCTTCTTGTTAAAATTTACTTCACTGTTTTCTTACAGTGAATTCGTTATTTCAAAGATCCTTGTCCCAAATAGTTTTCGTACATCCGAACTTTCTTTTTCCTTTTTATGGCAAAAGAACAGGCCCTGGTTCGTAAGCATTAAGCAACCTCATCTATTTTATAGTAAAAAAAAATTTCTATAACTACCTGAAAATTTGGGTTATCTTTAAAATTTTGACACCCAAAAAGTTGCAGATTCTAAGGAAAATCTTCTTTTAATGAAATTTACTTCACAGTTATTAAAGGTCATACCTGCACAAATTTCTTGAACATCTATTACACCTACCCGTCTGTATTTTCCTTCTATTTAATGACTTTTGTCATCTGTTTTTGTTTTTTGGGTTTGATGGTAAACATTCTGAATTTCTGGTCAGTTTGCTGAAACTTGTATTTAAGCTTCTTATTACCCACTTACGATTTAAACTGAAATCAGAACGAAAACATTTTCTTATTTTTTTCAAATTCAAATTTAATCTAGAAAGGGAAATAACACGAATAAACAAGACAAAAAATAATGAATAGAGCCCATAAATGCTGGCACATGGTCAGTTAAATCGCCCACATTTTTTCGTGTAGAGTTTAGATAAAGTCTGTCGTTGTCTCGTTGACTAATTAAAATTGAATAATTTATAAATTCAAAATAAATAATTTCACTATCGATCAATTGCATTTTAAGCGTACCAAAAGATCCATTCAAATTTCACAAATTCGAAACATTAAAATTCACAAAATCACAAGAGTGAGTAACACTGTAACAGAAACATAATCAACATAATAAACTTTTTTTCAACAGTTGAACACAATCAAACACTAATATATGTGTTCAAAGAGGCAAAAGCCAAAACATTTTAAAAAAGAAAAAATGGATCTTATACACAAGATCCTATTCTTTCATAACAACAATCAAAATAAGAACAACATGGAGAAACCATTACATCAATCTAAGATCTTTACGACTAGATCCATGGCTAAGAACAGAACACAAAGCTCTTTTCATACTTCCCATAGATGAACTAAACCCTCTTTTATAACACAACGTCGACGTTGGAGACGACGACCCAATCTCTTCCTCGTCGTCTTCCTTAACGTACGATCTCGAACAAGAATAACATTTTCTCGGACGATGCTCTGCTTTAGATGGAGGAGACGAGGAAGAGTACGAAGAGGAAGAAGATGAAGACGCAGACGACCAAGAAAACGAAGGACGCGACACGTGACGTGACAACAGAGTCTTCACGAATCTAGTTTGTTTCGTTCTAGCTTTACTCAGTTTGTTCCCGGAGGAGGGAGATGATGAGTAATACGACGGAGGTGGCGTTAGTGGAGGAACGCGAAAGGATTCAGAGAAAAGAGAGTGTTTTGGTGTCCCTGGTTGTGTCTCCCATAAAAATGGCACGGAGGCTCCGCCGTAGTAATAGATTCTTGACGATGAATTGACCTGAGAGCTCTCCTTTACGATTATCTTTGAAGATCTGACTCCATTAGTGTCGTCTTCTGATCTTTCTGACATTGTCTTCATTTAATGCTTCTGTAACCAAAACTTCCCTCTATGGATATGTCGTTGAGACAGGTTTTTATCAGGATTCAACTATCGAAAATGGAGAAGAAAAAAAAAAGAAAATGCTAGATCCGAAGACGACGAAGCTTCTTCAGATATGAAAAAGAGAGACAAAGGCGCATCTATTTTTGGAAAAGTGATGCTTTGGTTGTGTAAGAGAAGTTTGCGGAAGAATTAAAGGATCTCTTTTTTTGCATGGAGTGTGTAAGCACATGTCATGTGCTTATTAATCTTTTGTAGTATCTGTATTATTTTCGGGTTTTTTTTTTGTATTGGTAAATTTCACATGGATACATATGGCACATATATAAGATACTCGAAAATAATTGTAGAGCGCCAAGAAATGGTTAGATAATAAATGAGTGGGGGCGATATACTGTTCAATGTGTATACGACTTAAATGTTATTACTAATATTTACACCAATGGTGATTTCGAAAAGAGTTAATAGTATACTCCATCCGTTTCACAAAGAGTGTCATTTTGACACATTTCACACAAATTAAGAAAACATTGAATTATACATATATGCCCCTATTTAATAAGTGATTAATAATTTAAATTCAAGTAGAAGTAGCTTTAAGTTAAGGGTAAATCAAGAAATTTTGTGTAAAAGTCACATTGAAAATGTAGAATGACACTCTTTGTGAAACAAAAATCAAACTCTAGAATGACACTTTTTGTGAAACAGAGGGAGTATTTTTGACAAGGAAAGAAAAAACGTATTACTCCTCATAATGGTGCTCCTTTCTACAATTGATTGAACCTAGAAATCAAGTGAACTCCAGTGGTAGCTACAATATCCATGTAAAAAAAGGTTTACTAACTAAAAAAGATTAAAAACCGTTGTCACTATTAATGTTGTTCGGAAGATGATATAAAAAACGTGTAGGATACAAGAGAGGAGGTATCAAGGTGGATGAGTGTGGACCGTTGGATGTACAGTTGAGTCGTATTAATGTATAGGAGATGCGTTCGTGGTCCATTGTCTCGTACTGAGATTTTTCTTTAATTCGATAGAGAAATGAAGACAAAGTTAGTTAGAAAAATATAAGGCAAAGCTCCTCCTATTTAATTCATACATCCACCTACATGCATTACGTGTATATATGTATGCATATAAAATTTATTTTAGACTATGGTCTAGGCCAGTTCTAATAACAGAAGAGACAACTGATTAGGCAGTTCTACGCATTTCGGTTTTGATATTTTTGTAGACGGCTAGGTTATAAAGAACAGTCACTTACTGTAGTAGATTATATACACTCTTAACGGTTGATTATGTACTCTAGATGATCAAAACGAGATTAAACGGTTTAACAGCATTTAGTGTATACTTGTAATTAAGAACCTATTTTTAGTACACAGTAACGCAATACGCATATAACTTTTCTTCTTAAACAATTATCTTCACGTATATATATTACGTATTATTGATGCATTTTAGTTTGAAGATAATTTTGGTAAAAAGAGTGAAGATATTTTACTTTTACTTTTCATGCTCATCATATTTAAACATAGCTAGGTTAAGGTAAAAATATTCTAATAGTCATATGTTTAATAAATTAAATTTACTACCCAATGCATTAAACCTGAATAAACAAGATATTTACTTCCATTGACTCGTTGCTCTATAAATTATGGTTCGGTAAGTTCTTTCATTTTTGGTCGGTCGCAGATATATATGGCTTCCACTTGGTTTAAATTTGATTTCGGTTTCGTTTTCGAAGTAAAAAATACATTGAAAAAAAAATCATGTTAAGTTACTATAACAAACTTTGGACTGATTACATAATTAGTTTGGTTTGCCTTTTCGTCATATCTATTGGTGGTATTCGTCACCTTTTGTCTTAGCTATTTTTGTTTGTTTAAGACAGTGTACTAGTGTAGTTGGCACGTGTTAAATATTATTAGTCCATTATTGTTCAATAGATTTTTATATGCTCAAACATTAACAACAAATAAGTTAGAATTAAAATTTGTTTAAAACCCCACATATAATCAATTATCTATAAATTAAAAGTTCAAAACCGAGGTACTTTGTAATGAGTTAGTTTCGACTTGATTACAGCCATTAATCATGGTGGGTTGATGTATGGTAAACTTTCATCTTGAAATAGAATCACACAAAATAAAATAATGGATGCAATGCAAGGTTCCACTTATATTTCGTAAGTGACCCCATAAAATAATAAAAGAAATCATAACATAGAGAAAGATAAGGTGGTTGTGATAATTATGCGTTCCAAAAATCAATATAACAATTATTCTGCTCATTTACCAGAGATTGTCCGTTTTTTTTTAAAAAATGCTTTTGAAAAATCATTTTAAATATATTTCGTTATGTAAAGTACATATATGTATTCTAACATTTTTCACAAGTGAGAACTTAGTTCAAAAAGAATAGAGTAGAAAGACTGAAAGAGTGATGAATGGCCCAAAATTGAAAGAGTTACATTTTAGTGATTTCTATTTTATGATGAAGACAGATTTTATAGCATTGCATATATATATATCTTAAACCCATTTTCACGTTTTATTTTACTTTGGTGTATATATGAAAGAGTTACTTTTTCGATTAATCTATAAATACATCAAAAAGTATGGGCTTATAATGGCCCATAACTTCCTAAAAGAAAACATCGTGAAAACAAAAGATCCGTGGGATCAACCGTCGGCAGCGCAAACGTCGTCGTTTGATTGATTGGTTGGTCCCTGCCACCCAAAACCTCTGCCTTTTTTGCAAAAGCTATTCAGAGGAAACTGCAATTCCCAATAAGCCCGCAATCAACGGCCCAAATTGAGTAATCAGTCAACGATCCCATACAACCGTTCTCACGTGAACCTTGTCTTCAACACGGTCAATCTAAACCATAAGCCAATCAGAATTCACCACGTCATCACTTCGTTATAATCTCTGTCTCTCTCTTCTCACTCTCCGAGTGGGGTGATAGTGTGACTCTGTAACGAGAAAGCACAATCATAGCGATACGTTCTTCAAAAGCTCTTTTGCTTTTTCATCTCCTTTTCCTTTTTTCTTTTGTAAATTTTATTAATTATGATTGTGATTAGTGAAAAGGGCTTCTCTTTAAATCCTTTACCTTTGAATTCGACAACAATTCATTGTTCTTCTTTGTGGTGGCGATGGCAGAGGAGCAGCATCAGAATTATCCTGTGGCTGAGGCGATTCCGGGTACGCCTGGGATCCATGAAGTGAGGATCCAACCCGGTTCTGAGAATTTCGGGTTCTGTGTTGATCCGGTTGGTGTTTCTAATGTACCTGGAATTAGGAGAGTTGGTTTGAGAGCTGAAATCGATACATCTCCTCCATTTGGATCGGTTCAGGAGGCGGTGACCCGATTCGGTGGTCGTGGTTATTGGGTTCCTTTCAAGCTTGAAGACAGTTTCGTAAGTTTTGTTCTTTCTCAGTTTCTTTTAATGTCGGATCGCTTCAATAGATAAACACATTTGATGCTTTGATGGTGACCATTGCCATTGTTCTTTAAATTGAAGTTGAGTATAATTTCTTGATTTTTCTGAATGTAAGTGTTGATCGTTGTGTGGCACACACTGACATTGCAGATGCTGGTTTTGTTTGATTTTTGAACACTTGATCATCTGATGTTCGAAGCAATAGATGTTTTAATGTCTGTGACTAAATTGTCTATGCTGTTGGATTAAGAGTTTATATTTTTTGGTTTGTCAATGTACAGAATGGAGAATTTGACATAAAGAGAATGGAAGAGCATGCAGCGGAGCTTGAGAAGGATCTGATTGTGAAAGAGCTTGAAACTTTGGATGTTCTTGAAGCACTTGGATCAACGAAAAGGATCGTTGAAGATTTGAAGCGGCAACTTCAGCAAGAAGCTCTGAGATGCACTGAACATCTCAGTTCGGATATCAAAGAGATGAACGATGAGCATTGCCATCACAATCCCATGTCATCTCCCGATCTGATCTTGATGGAATTGAAGCAAGCTAAGATGAATCTTGGTAAAACCATGGATGATCTTGTAGTGATCCAATCCTCTGTTGAGTCTCTCAATAAGAAAATGAAGGAAGAGAAAGATTTTCTTGAGAAGACACGAGCAAAGCTAACTTATGGGTTTGGAGGACCGGTATCTCTAGCTGAGGAGTTGAGTCGGATTAAGGCAAAACCACAGGTTCCAGATGAACCACTAAGGGAACAGGTTAAGATGGTTGCTGAAACCGATGAAACGGGGTTAAACCTGCAGAACAAGAACTGTCTGAGAACCGCAGAGATGAGATTGGTTGCTGCTAGAAAAATGGAAGAAGCTGCAAAAGCAGCGGAAGCACTTGCGATTGCTGAAATTACAATGTTATCATCCAATGGTGAAAGCCAGGACGATGATTCGGAATTTTGCTTTCCAGAGCCTCCAAGATCTCCCGTAACACCGAGAGGACTAAGGATTGATAATGACTTCTCCACCGATAATAGCTCAAGAAGAGGGATTTTAAAGAAGCTTGAGGAAGCTACTGAAGGAGTTAAACAAAGTAAACAAGCTTTAGAAGCTGCGTTAAACCGAGTAGAGATCGCTAATGTGAAGCAACTTGCAGCTGAAAATGCTTTCCGTGGGTGGACAAAAGACTCATCGAAAGGCGATAATTTTACACCTTTGCATCATACCCGACGCTCCTTTTTCAGCCATTTAAACAAGCATCATGAGCCACTTGACAACCTCCCAAAGCCAGTGTTGAAGTCTAACGTCTCAATGCGTGATGTTCTAAGGCGTAAGCAAGTTCCAAAGGAAGATATTGTTGCTCCCCAAAGGCAGAGCCTTGAAGGGCAAATCCCGAGGCGAAATGCGAATCTGAGCCAAATGTTGAAGGAGTTGAAGCAGGATGTGAAGTTTTCAACAAAGGCCGAGAAAGAGGAGGTGCATGAAGAGAAACAGTATGTCACGCAGAGGAGAAAGTTTGGGTTCATACACATTACACTTCCATTACAGAAGCAGAGCAAGAAAAAATCCAGCCTTTAAAAACAACAACACCTTCAACTATTTCTATTTCTAGTCATTATTATTTGTTTGTAATTGGTTTTATGTGGTGTGTGTGATTGATTTTCCTGTCTTTATATTTGTTGTTTTCCAAAAAATAAATATACAATTAGTCTTTAAATAAAACATAATGCTTTGAATCTAATGAGTAAACAGCAAATTTGATTCTGTAGAACAACAATAGCAGTGCAATTAAAACTGCAGAAGTGTGATTAACTGATTAAGCTGTTATTTTAGCAATGAAACCGAACCAAATTGAACCAAGATGTTTAGAATAAACCGAACAATGACGTGGCAGAGATAGTTGCTGACTAGTCAATGTTAATCCACGTCAGCAGATCTCTTATCATCAAACTATTTTCTATCTTCTTCGTCCAAGACGTTAACCCCATCTCGTTGAAAGAGGAGATGCTAAGATCTCATCAAAGCAGAGTATAACACCTTGACCTTGCTTTGAGATTTTCTCAGAGATCTGAAAAATGTCAATCCTTCAAGTCTCTACTTCCTCTCTTTCTTCTTCTACTCTTCTCTCCATCTCTCCCAGAAAATCTCTCTCGTCTCCCAAGTCATGCCGGATAGTTCGTTGTTCCGTCGAGGGTACTTATTTCTAACGCTCAATTTTGATTCATTGCAATGAATTTTATGGTGAGTTAATATCTGGGTACATATAAAGTTGCGATTTTTCCACAAAAATTCTTCTCTTTTTGGCAAATAGGAAGCGAATTGGGTCTTTTTTGTAGTACTTGAATTGATTGTTTTGGTTAATCTGTTATGAATTTAATAGATAGGTGCAATGGTTATACGAAGAAACTTTCAGATTCTCGTGTACCAATAATCTCTCTGGTAGAAATTTAGGATTTTTCAAGTTTGTTCTGCAGAAGCTGATACAGTATATGATCTTCTCGTGCTTCTTTGAAGTGAAGTTTATTGCTTGATTCAAAAATTGGAATGTTTCTCTGGGATTGTCATTGGTTTTCCCTATATTAAGTCTGATCATGAAATTTGCAAAAGTTTATGAGTCTTAGTCTTTATGCTTAATGGGATTCAAATTCTCTGTTTAGGAACCACTGTAACCGAGCGGAAAGTCTCGGCAACCAGTGAGCCTCTTCTTCTAAGAGCTGTTAAAGGAGAAGTTGTTGATAGACCTCCGGTTTGGCTTATGAGGCAAGCTGGGAGGTACATGAAGGCAAGCTTGCTTCCATTTATTTTGTTTACAAACTCACATTTTGCTTCTTCCTTTTTCTTTCGATTTTTTGTGACCTGAATGTTAATTAATATGATGAACAGAGTTATCAAACTCTCTGTGAGAAATATCCTTCCTTCCGAGATAGATCAGAGAATGCGGATCTTGTGGTGGAAATTTCTCTGCAGCCATGGAAGGTGTTTAAGCCAGATGGGGTGAGTTCTTCTTCATTATGTCCATTTAGTTTTGGGGTTTTCTTTATATGATCTCTTTAGTTGACATGTCTGTTTTTGAAAATGTATGAAAAGGTGATTCTGTTCTCAGACATTCTCACTCCATTGTCTGGAATGAACATACCTTTCGACATTGTTAAAGGAAAAGGCCCTATCATCTTCAACCCGCCGCAATCAGCTGCCGACGTTGATCAAGTTAGAGAATTCATACCTGAGGAATCTGTTCCATATGTTGGAGAAGCACTCAAAAGATTAAGAAATGAGGTACTAAAGATAGTGTGATTATTGAAGCAACAAATGCTCTTAAGCTCTTTATAAAAAAAAAAAAAAAAAAAACAAATGCTCTTAAGCTGAAGAATATGTTTTGTTTCAGGTGAACAACGAAGCTGCTGTTCTGGGTTTTGTTGGAGCTCCATTTACTCTTTCTTCGTATGTAATCGAAGGTGGCTCATCTAAGAACTTCACACAAATTAAAAGATTAGCTTTTTCTCAACCCAAGGTTGGATTAGTAAAACCTTAAAGCAATTGTGAAGTTCGTCAATGTGGTAAATATCTCAGAGATTGAAAAGTTTTCCTTTCTTCTCAGGTTCTACATGCTTTACTCCAGAAGTTCACAACCTCGATGATCACGTACATACGTTATCAAGCAGATAGCGGAGCTCAAGCTGTACAAATATTCGACTCTTGGGCTACCGAGCTTAGCCCGGTGGATTTTGAAGAGTTTAGCTTACCTTATCTTAAACAGATTGTGGAAGCTGTGAAACAAACTCACCCAAACCTACCTCTCATACTGTATGCGAGTGGATCAGGAGGTTTGCTAGAGAGACTGGCTCGAACCGGTGTGGATGTTGTGAGCTTGGACTGGACTGTGGACATGGCTGAAGGAAGAGACCGGCTAGGAAGAGACATAGCGGTTCAAGGAAACGTGGATCCGGGAGTTCTATTTGGATCGAAAGATTTTATCACAAGCAGGATTCATGATACTGTGAAGAAAGCTGGGAGAGATAAACACATTCTCAACTTGGGGCATGGTATTAAAGTTGGAACCCCTGAAGAGAATGTTGCACACTTCTTTGAGGTTGCTCAAGGAATTAGATATTAAGAGAAAGAAAGAGTGATGATGATTATGCTTTGTTTGTTGTTCACTTCGGCCTTTTATCTTTTTTTTTTCTTTTCAATATGAGATGTGTAATTTTATTTTTTTAACTGTAATTTTTTGTTTGGAGACTACACGTCGAAGAGAATAGTGATTAACGTGCAAAGGTTATTCATATACTGTATGTAGGCTCTTTGATTTCCACTTATTTCAATTTCTTAGAAGGAGGTTTTTCTTCGTTTGGTTCTTTTGAATTGGGTTTTAAGAGAGAAGATTTATAAATAAATTATATTAAAAAAAAACAGAAGAAGAAGAGGAAAGAGCAGCGGAGGAAAAATATGGAACAGAGGAGGGAGACGAGAGAGACAAGGATAGGGCTCCACTATGTTTTTCACCCTTTTTTTAACGGCTGATGCGTTTATTATTATTTTATTCAGTGATGATTCTATCAAAATACCAAATTGCTACCACAACCAATTCTTTGAACAACTTTTATATATAACAGTTTTAATATTTATCTAAATACATTAGTTCAATATTTAAGCATTGGATAATATTAAACATTGATTTGATATAGTTAAACTTTTTTATTTTTGATATTGTTAAACCTTTGTAAACATGTACATATATAAATAGATATAGAGTACATGTCAAATAACTATCACATTTAATTATTCAGATTACAAACAAAAAAAAGCAGAGAAAAAACCCTGAAGAAGATCGAATAGGTAAGATGGAGCAACTTTGGAGAGATGATGATTGGATTGTGGACGAGTCTTCCTTGACGAAGGTCTCCTCTCTTGGCCGAGGCAGCTTCGGTCGCGTCTCTCTCGAGAAGGACTCTAACTCCGGTCGACTATACGCAAAGAAGTCATCGTCGATGCATCTCCAAAAGATTCTCGAGAAGGAGCTCAGGATCATGCATCGTTTCCGCAATCATCCTCGCATCGTCCAAGCTTCAAACAAGCTTCACTTTCAAACCAAACCCTATGAATATTGCAGCATCTATATGGAGTACGGCTCCAAAGGTAATCTCTATAAGATTTTATCTGGTTTCCCCGACGAATCACAGCCCATACCGGAGTCTTTGGTCAGTCGGGCGGCTCGTATGATCCTAGAAGGACTCGTGGCTCTTCACTCCGATGGTTACGTTCACTGCGACCTCAAGCCATCCAACGTTCTCGTCTTCCCTTCCACAACTCCTGGAGAGCCGTGGGATCTCAAGCTTGCTGATTTCGGATCATCCAAGGAACCTGATTCTGAATATGATTCTATGTCCCTTGGTACGGCTCAGTACATACCATCAGAGGCTTTTGGGCCAAACGGACTGATCAAGCCGGGCCATATCGATCCGGGACTTGATATATATGCTCTAGGGTGTGTGGTTTTTGAGATGTTTGGAGCTGTACCTGAGCAGGAGTACTTTGAAGAATATTACGATTGGATATTGCATCGAGAAATCTCCCCGGAGGCTCAAGATTTCTTGACGCTGTGCCGTGACATGCATCCACACAGGCCCACCGCGACACAGCTCTTGAACCATTCTTTCATTACGCAGAGACTTCCATCGCCAACCACAGCTAGGTCGTTGATTACAAGTGTCGCCAAGCTTCTTTTGACCTGATCTTCTTATTCCTCTCTATCTCTCTTTGTGTAAATAAACTGATCTAGAAAAACTGGATAGCTAGTGAACTGCTATGGCAAAGCCTATCCGAGATGTACCAATGATCAGTTTGACCTTATTGTGATTCCATCTGGTGATTCCATCTGGTGATTCCATCTGGTGATTCCATGTTCCATCTGGTGATTTCAATTTACATACAGCCACGAAGAAAGATTTGATCTTATTTAAGAGTTTATTGGTCGAGTTCACAAGAAAGTTAGTCTTAAGTCACTAATAGGTTTTTACCCGTGTGCTGTGTGCATGTGCTGAGTTCAACACTCCTTCATGTTTAATCTGAGGACTGAGTATATATTAAAGTTGGGATTTGTTTACTTATATTAGTCCTGCATATTTTATCGGAGAATATTTATACATTATTAGTGTATATAAAATTCAAGTTTACTTTTATATTACTCACTCCAATAATTTACATTTTTCTGTTAGATTTCTTCTTCTTTTGTTTTGTTAAAGTTACATGTGATTTTGTTGGAAAAAAATAACTGTGATTTTAGTACATAGGAAACTAACAAAATTTTTACAAGAAGAAGAAGAACAACAACAATCCAAGTTTTGGTTAAAACGAGAAAAACAAAGCCCAAGCCCACTATATGTTAAAGCCCAAGAAGTAACAATAAAGATCAGCTCTCCTCCATCAGAGATTAAACGATGCGATCGGCGACAAGAGAGTAACCCTAGCAGCAGACACAACACACAACACTAGTTCATCGAGAAGCAAGATGGTACTCATTGTCTTTGATTTTGATTATTATATTTACAATAAAGATTGAGAAATTGATGATCTTCCATTGTTGTTGTTGTTGTTGTGTTGCAGACTTTCAAGCGTAGAAACGGTGGAAGGAACAAGCACAACAGAGGTCACGTCAAGCCAATCAGATGCTCCAACTGTGGCAAATGTTGTCCCAAGGTACTCTCTTCCACCTTCTCTTCTCAATCAATCAATCTCTAGTAATTCCTATGTGGAGTTTTAATTAGATCTTGTGGTTGGTTATATAATATTTGGATAGGACAAGGCCATTAAGAGGTTCATTGTGAGGAACATTGTGGAGCAGGCTGCTATTAGAGATGTTCAGGAAGCTAGCGTCTACGAAGGTATCATTTCATCGCTCTCTTTATGTTTCTTTGTATTTGTTAAATATATGTACATAAAAAGTTTGGATTTTTAGACTCTTGGCATTGAAAAATTTACTGAGATTTGCAACTTGATTGAATTATGTAATTGATAGGATACACATTACCGAAGCTATATGCAAAGACGCAATACTGTGTCTCCTGTGCTATCCACTCTCACGTCGTTAGAGTCCGATCCCGCACCAACCGCAGGGTTCGTACTCCTCCACCTCGTTTCGCCAGACGCAAGGTAATCTCTCTCTCCTTCTCAACTCAATGATCATTAGTAGGTTTAAGCTCCATTTGTCGATCTGTAATTACTTCTGCTTGCTCCATTTTACCCTGTTAGATATGAAGATAGTTTGAAGTAAAACTGGTTTGTTTGACATGTACAAAGTATAGTTGACTCTCTCGCAGGAACCAAATTGTGTGTTTGATTATCTTAAGATTACCTATTGAACTATAATAGTTGTTTCAAAATAGTCTTTTATGGCTTCAATAAGTAGACTTTTGAGGTGGATTAAGCAAACCAGTACCTTCACTTAATCCTTAACAATACTGCTTTCTGTGAGACTATTCTGTTCTATCTTTCGTTGTTGAAATGATTTACTCTTCTGACATTTTACTGAATGGTTTTCTTCGACATTATGATCATCAGGAGGATACTCCCAAGCCTGGGCAACCAGGACAGGCCCCTCGTCCAGCTGGACCTGGAGCTGCAGCTGCACCGCGTGTTTGAAGCCTTCAAGCAGCTTTCTCTCTTTGTTTCTTATGTTCTATTTACTTCTTTGAGGATGTTTGTCTCTGGTTCAGATTGTTTTGCCATGTGGATCTTGAATTCTGTCAAACTATTTCAATAGTTGATTCAACTTTGTTTTTTGCACCTCTATATCCACTTTTGCAGTCTGACGTTTTAGTTAACTAGATGCTTAATGGATGGTTCTTTTGCAATTCAACATCTTAACACTAGCGGATGCTGAATCTGAGATGTGTTTTCAAAAGCTTAATACAGATAAAAAATGTAGTAAATTTTCTTGTAACGTTGATGGTGAAAGCTTGTTGTTCAGATTTCCTCTGCCAGAAAAAAAAAACCATGGCGAAATCAATTCTCACTAGTTTTGAGGCTATGCCTGCTTATGGGCTATGCTATTGGATATGCGGCCCGGACCTAATCCGCTAAATAAAAGGAATTGCATCACATGTAAATGTGTTTTTTTGTTTGTTCTATTTTTGGATAAACCATATTAGGACATTCGCTGCATATTACCCTGAAACTGTTTAGGTGATTAATCCTTCTTTAAAAGGTAGTTTAGCTAAATATTGTAACAAATTTTAATATTTAAGATTCTACTATCTAGTCTTTTGTTTTTATAGTAAAAAACATATAAAAGTTATTGGAAAATCTGTAAAATTTAATGTTATCATAACAAATTGGGTCTAGCGACTTTTTCTTTCTTTCTAATAAACTGATATATTATTTTCTCAAAATAGACTTAACGATGGTGGGCTTACACAGGCCAAACGGCCCATAAAATGGAAGAAAAACCAGCTTCGTCACCGGAATCAAAGATATGAAAAAGGTGGATATCTCAATTTAATGTCTTTTTCCCCAAAATCTCCAAATTTGAAAACTGAAACTCTATTAGTGTTTGAGTTCAATCTTTCACAAGACACGCTTACATCATTAAAAACATCATGAGGAACACCTAGAAACATATTAGATTTTTAGATGGAAATTGAACTCGAGTTCATATAGGAATAATCTTCTTCTCGTCGTCGATTTAAATTTAGGATTTTTAAGTTTTGATTTGGGAATTTTGTAGGATAACGCATATAAGTAGTGATTTTTTTTACACTAACTTCGGATTTCCTAATTTCTAAATTTTGGAAATTAGTTTGCTAACTTAAAAACAAAAAAAAATATCTTACTATATTAATAAGTCGTTAACTTAATGACCGTTATTTTTATGGCACATATACACTAAACTAACCGTTATTTCTCTAACTAAAAAAACGATCATTAAATTACTTTTAAATAACGGTTAGTAAACTGTATACACCCGCCATAAAAATAACGGTCATTAAATTACTTTTAAACACAAAATTACATTTCATAACATTTTCTCGATGGCACGAAAATAAACTAACCGATATTTCTCTAACTAGAATTTTAAAACGATATTAATGTAAAATAAAATTTAAACACAAAATTGGACCTCATAACATTTTCTAAAATACATATGACTTGGAAAAAAAAAGGAAAAGTAATATACGAATCTAAACACTAAATCTCATTATCAAATGTTTGTAAGAAAATCCGTTCATCGTAGATATCTATTTTGTCATTTCCTCTCTATTAGTCTTTTCTTTTAGTTTACTTTTAGCTTTTTTGAGTTTACTTTTTTTTTTTTCCTTAAATTTTCTTGTCTTCTCTCTTCTCTTTGAACTCCGGAGGAAGAAGACGACGAGGACGTAGAAAAAAATGAAAATTGTGAAACGATTTTTAATACAAACAAAAATAAAGATGCAAATTTATTAATTTTTGGGTCTCATTATTATTTTATTTCTATGACTAATAGTAGTCTATGAAACTTCCATAAATTTCATTTGACTTTTTTTTTTACTGGTGAATGATCGTTTCATTATCATTTTCATTATCTTTGTTTATTTAATCTCCTTCTCATGTTTAGAAGCTAAGCTCTACCATTTTCTCCGCCCTGAGTATGTTTTCTTATCCTCTTTAGCTCTTTACTCTTAAACTAATTAAGATTTGGTGATAATGGTTTCTGCTTAAGCTCTTTCGCTTTCTCTGTTTCAGTTTGGTCTTCAGATCTTCCATTTCTTGTGAGTTTTTGATGAGTTTGCGTTTGATAATCAAAGGGAAAAGCTCTTTCTTCACGCGTCAATTTTCACTTTTTTTCTTTTACAAATGCATTTTAATTACAATCCTAGAACCCTAAGATTGTTAACAAGTGTTGATCTTTGTTTCATCATCGAAAGTTTTGATTTTTTTGGTTTTCTATGTTGCAGGAGGAGTTAAAGCCACTTGGGTTTTCACGGATTTGTTCAAAGGAATCTTCTTTGACGACACTTGGACTTAAAGCATAGGTACTTTTCCGATACTCACAGCTCTAGAAATATTTTCTGCATTTACGAGGTTGACGAGGCTTTTTGTTTTTCTTGAGTTTTAGAAAAAGTTGAAATTGAGATTTGGAAAGCTTTAGTTTTGGTTGTTGCAATCATTGCTGGGGAAAAGCGAGTGGATCAGAATTCTTTTTGTCAAAATTCTTTTTTGGGTATTTTAAAGTGTTGATTTTTATTCTTTGGTTTGGGTTTGGCTTTGAGGAAACTAAGACTGTAGAGATACCTAACATTTGCATTTACTATCCATTTATCATTGACATACTCTGTTTAGAATGTATTTACTCTTTGGGGTGGTTTGAATTGTTTTGAAGCATTCATTGGTGGATTTGAGAAATCTAATCCAAGATTTTCTTCTTTCTCTGATCTTCATTCCTTTGGTTGGAAGTTGTTTTCCTTGAGGAGTGTATTGATTGATTTCTGTTAATAAAGCCATGATTTTTCTCTTTGTTCTATGGTTTGTACTTTGTAGATCGTGTCTGAAGTTAGTTTGGAGTTTCTTGTTCAAATGGCTGATCATCAAGAGAAGGTTCCAGTCTCTTTGTCTCAAGCCTCGTCATCATCGTCTCTGACCCCAACAACAACGCCAATAGCTGAAGAATTGTGGTTGTTTGCTGAGGAAAGGGCTCAGGAGATACTATTTGCCATCCAACCTATGTATCTTTCAGAAAGAAGTAGGAATGAGATCATCAATCATCTCCAGACTCTTATGTGGGAACGTCTTGGAATTGAGGTTAGAACTTTCGTGGAAATTTTGTTGGATGAACTTTCCTTCAGTCTCCATCTTCTTAGGAATGCCGTATCAGATGATGTCTGGTTGCGATGTTTCGTAAGAATGCTAAAGTTTTTTCCAGCTGTGTGATTAGATTCAAGAGTCAGGACTATTATTTTGTGCCCCTAAACCATTCTTATGTTTATGTGTCTGTTCCTCTTTTAACTTGATCAAAATGTAGATTTAATGTGGTGTTGTATTTACCAGGTCTTTTTATTTGGTTCGGTGCCATTAAAAACCTATCTCCCAGATGGAGATATTGATCTGACAGTTCTAACTCCTTATGGTATGGAGGAGAACTGCGCTAAAGCATTGCGTAATATACTTGAAGCTGAAAGGGGAGAATCAGATTTCCAAGTAACTGATGTCCAGTATATCCATGCACAGGTTTGCTTGGTTCCTTCTTTGTTTTAAGAAAACTTATTTTCCATGCTTATGCTGTTTCCCGCTCAATTGACGTTTTTGATGGTAGGTCAAGGTCATAAAGTGCACTATCAGGAACGTTGCTTTGGATATCTCCTTCAATCAAATGGCGGGACTATCCGCTTTATGTTTTCTGGAGAAGGTAAATACTTAATAGCTTAAGCGTATAATAGTTCTTCCATGGTCTATTCTCTCAACTGATTTGGTAAATCTTTTACTTTTTTGTTGCTTTATTAGGTTGACCGGGCTTTTGGTAGAGACCATCTGTTCAAACGTAGCATCATTTTGATTAAGGCCTGGTGTTTTTATGAAAGCCGTATTCTCGGTGCCAACAGTGGATTGATTTCGACGTATGCATTGGCTATACTCGTTTTGAACATCGTCAACATGTCTTATTCATCAGTATCTGGCCCTTTAGCTGTAAGCATTTTTGAATCCGAGCTTATTTGGAAATGGCTTCCAAGATTAACATATTAAATCTGTCATCAACAGGTACTGTATAAGTTCATGGATTTCTATGGATCATTTGATTGGGAGAATTACTGTATCACGGTCACTGGTCTGGTCCCGATATCATCTTTTCCAGATATTACGGGTAAGGACGCTGAGATAATAGAAAACTTGATTTGTTGTTTTGAAAACTTCTGTTTCCCCTAAATTTGAAAACTTCAATTGTTGTTTCCTTCAGAAACCAGAAATCATGAAGTATTCCTAGATGAGAAGTTCTTCAGAGAATGCATTGAGTCATATTCGGGGCCAGCTAATGTTGTTGAAGCCAACAGGAAATATTTTCCTCTAAAACATTACAACATACTGGATCCTCTGAAACACAGCAATAATCTTGGACGTAGTGTGTCAGAAGGTACTATATTGACCAGAGATTTCTATGCCACGAGACCAAAACGAAGCTCATGATTATTGGTCTCTCAAGTAACATTTTCTATCTTTTGTGTATTCTTGTTAGGAAATGCGATACGTTTAAGACATTGTTTTAGAAGGGGAGCTCAGAAGCTCAGAGATGTGCTTACATTTCCTGGAGAGACCGTGGGTTGGAAACTGGAGAACTTCTTTGGTAATTCACTGGACAGGAACGGTAAGGGACAAAGACAAGACGTAGAGGAGCCTGTCATCCCGTTTGGCACTGGAAAAGCAGATTACTCTAATCTTAGAGGAGATTTTGACGGATACTTCTTACGTTTTATATACGGGAAGTGGTTTCACGGAGAGAGCCTGCATAACTGGATCCCTCAGGGTCTAGACATAAGTTCCTGGGAAACTGTCCGCTGGTTTATGACACGCCGAAGGAATGTTTTCAATTGGAGGAATCTGGATGGAGGATCAACATCAACATCAACATCGATGCCAAACAAACGGAAATCAAAAGGAACAGGCACTTACATTCCTGAAATGGTACATTCACCGTTTACTCTTTCACTTGTATTCCTATTTTGGAAAAGAATTTGTGTCTGAAATGTATGATTCATCGGTTTTCTTGCAGGGTCAACAATCATACACCGGTAGGTCCAGTAGCAAACCGAGCACAGTGAAATCATTACCTTCAGCATCTCAGACTCATAAGTGCAAAAAGAATCCTCAGACTCATCGGTGCAAAAAGAATCCTCAGACTCAAGAGTGCAAAAAGAATCCTTGAATTGGTCTCTTAGGCTAAAACCTTTTGCCTAATAACCTTAGGTTTGTCTCTCATTCTTACCAACATCAAACAATGACAGAGAGTTTTTTTTTTCTTTTTTCTTTTTTATTTTTCAATGTTGGTATATTGGAAGTTGCAATGGTTGAAGCAGATGCTTCATTTTAGGATGATTCATTAAGATTGTAATTCTGTTTGACCCATAACTCATTCAGAGGTCTCTCTGATTAAGTTGGACAGAAGAAAGACAATTCATTCTGATTAGCTCTTTATATATTCTTGATGGTCATTTTAGAGTCAAATCAAAAGTCCCAAAAAAAAAACATGAAACGTATATAAATTGATAGATTTATTGCATTGCCATGACGCTGTCTTAGAAGAACAAACTTTAGTTTGATCGGATAGAGAAGTTTGTTGTCACTTATTACTAACTTGCTAGTGGAGTTAAGGGCCCAACCATGCAGAGATCTTTTTATGACTATTATCCATACTTGATAATTTGATATATCCTAGGTATGATATGACGATATACTTCCAAAGCATTACGTCATCTATCTCACATCTCTTAAAATTATTATCATCTTCATAAGAACTCATGCATTATAGAGTAATTTTGCAAGATTTGCCGATAAGTTTTATATAGTTACATCAATAATTAGGTTGATTAAAGAGATCTTAGCAAGATCAAATCTAAACATTATCACGATAATAAGGGTTTGTTGGCTTATTAAAGCTAAGTTAGGAAATTATGGTAGATAGTATGAGTCGGTTTTCACATTCTCTAATTCCGATCCTCACTTTCTCTTCTCTTATTATAGTGTTTAAGATCGGATGCCAATGATACATACGTGGCTATTTTAGACAATCAGTAACATGTTTATTAACTTGTAATGCATTTCTAAGCGAGACATGATCATTAAAAGATAAGGGAACGCAATTATTCACTTCTTCTGTGCTAGAATGTTGTGTCGTTAATTATTAGCTAGTATAACTAAATACTTCTAATTATATACAAAACATAGTATATATTAATTATACACATAGGTTCAATAACCCCATGCTTTTATTAAAAAGGGAATAAAGAGTTTCCCGCTATACTACCTACCTTTTTAGTCGGCATTGAACAATGATGGCACGTGACTCCGATGTTTACGTTGCTCTTTGATTACAGGTGATAATAGAATTTTCAAATCAATTAGTGCATCTTAGTTCCTCTAAGGCTTTTAGGCTTAAAAAACCCTTCAAGAAACTTACCTCACAACTTGGTTTAGACTTTAGAGTATATAGTACTCCGATATCTCACTCCCGTTACAAGTCCAAACTCAATTGCGTGAATCTCTTGGAAGTTTTATAATCTCGGAATAATTGTATCTCATGACTCATAAGTCCTCCCTCTTTAGTAAAAGTTATAAAAAAGGGACGTGGGAGAAAATACTAGTTTCTCCAAAATTTTAAATAAAAAATAACAGTTAAATGAGAAACAAGCCAACGTCTCTAATTTGTCCCCAACAATAAACTTTGTGGCCAATGCATCTTTTGGAAAGTTTATTACTTAATTTTTTATTTAAGTCACTAATTTTTAAAAATCTCATTATATATATTGTCTTATCAATTTTCCAACAAATATACGACTTGTCATAGAACAAAGCATGCAATGATGGATCATTACGATAAAAATAAAAAGATAACATAAACAAATCAAAGAAAAGAAAAAAAGTAAGAAGTTGCCATGTTATAAATCCATCATGACCTTTGTTTGCCAATTTCAACAAAGTTGGCCCTCCAAATTTAATCATGCAATGCTTCTTTTCTTATATATAGTTATTTATATCTACTATAAACAACCACACTACAATCTCTTCTTGAACCTAAAGACAACAAGAAGAAAGAATAAATTCATATAAATTCTCTTATTTTCACCTTTTAAATTAAATGGATGGATTGAAGATTAAGTTTGACGTTATATTACTCTCCTTCTTACTTCTCTCCGGAATTCCTTCCAATCTTGGGATGAGTAAGAGTATGAGAGGCACTACTAGATCGGAGCCGGAAGCATTTCAAGGAGGAAACTTCCCCGCAATGAACATCAGGAAGTTGATGGCAACAAACATGGAAGTTGATTATTCAAGTGACTATTATGATGGAGGATCATCATCACCATCACCACCAGTGCCTGATTATGATGATATTTATAAAAGGCAAGGTGATGTCCCAAGCCCTGGTATTGGCCACTGATCACACATCTCATGCGTATATACACATCCATATACACATTTTGTGTTAAATATTCATACATACATGTTGTTTATATATGTTTTTGTCCTTGGAGGCTGTCTCCATATGATAATTTTTATGTTGCTTTTTCCTTCATTTTTGATATTTTGATTTTATTTCATTCTATCTTCTTTTTTTTCCAAAAAAATAAGTGTGCCCTTTCCTATTGAATTGTCTCATTTCCTCGTGTTGATGGGAGCTTCATGTATGTAATACAACTCATTATATAAACAGCATCTGTCCGTTATAAAAGAATGTTTTTTTTTTGTCATTAAAAGAGAGAAAAAATTTCTATAATAAATTAAAGAAAAAGAGTAATATAATTTACCCACAACATGACAATAATAATATAAAACAGGAATTAATCCCCACGAAACCAAGTTGAGTGCATTTCGTGCAAAGAGAAGAGACCTCTGCAAAAATTTTAATCATTTTACTAGCAATGAGGTTATAATCACTTACTAGTTACTACTAAAACTTAGTTCAGATATCTAATTTTTTTATACTATATATTTTAGTATGTGGATATGTAACTTATATCCAAGAATCTTGTGGTATGCTTATATAGTTTTATGTTTTCAAAAACATCAATGAAATAAAAAATAGGGGAAAGAAAACACAAAAACATTCTGTCAGTTGGTGACAAAAACACTACAAGAAAACGGTGGTATTGCAATATTGGAAATTGTTGCTATAGGCCAATATAACGTTACAAATTAAGATTTGCAATAAAAACGCGACCAAACTTAAATCGTTGCTGATTGAGCGTTGCAAATTCGTATTTGTAGCATAAACGTTGTAAAATTTGCAATAAATCGATTTCTCACTATAGATGTTGTATAAATGCAACAATATTTTTACAGCAAATTTGTCGTATAATTACGACGTATATTTGCAACACTAAATTTGTCGTAAATCATTGCTACATAAAACATATAGCGAATACCATTGCAAAACTGTGATAACTATTTTGCAAAATACCTTTGTAGCAAAATCTTTGTTACAATGACAAAAGCGTAATTTGTTGCAAGTATTGTCGTAACTAATATTTTGCATTGTTATAAAAATATATATAATCAGGATTCTATTTTTAATCGTTTGGTCGATATATAGTTTTTGTCACTATAATTTTGCTATATTTAAAATCCGATCCATGGGTTGTTACAAAATGATAATGACTAATCAGTATTAAATTTTATAATTAAAATGTATAGTAACAAAATTCCAAGATTGAAATCAACAAGGATAAACATCCAACAAAATAAATATCAAAATATTTAAAAACATCAAATGATAAATAAATACCACATAAAATAAGAAAAACTTATAATAGTCGATTTAAAAGAAATAATATTTTCTCCAATGCCTTAGCTTCATGGTTGTTCCTTGATTTTTGCAATTTTGTTAAGATCTGCTCTAACAAATCGGTCCTTAATGATTCATCTGAAAAAACTTCAAAAAGAAAACGTTAGTTAATACTAAAATAAATCATACAATAAAAATAAACAAAACAAAAAATTAAATCAAATGATTAAGTTAAAATGAATAAAAAAGATTTTTTAAAAAAAACTTAAAAGGTAGGTATTGGCTTTGCTACCTTCGTCCGAATGAAGAGCTACACAATTATGGACTTAGGATGAAGTAAGAAAAATTTAGATAAAGCTGCTAACGCTGTGTGAGATAGTAGAAAATTTAGGACCATTTTGAGGAATCTTCCTCTTGCGATCAAGATCGATGACGAATTCGGAAAACTTCGGAATGAAATTACAATCGCTCATTGTGATGTTGTACCTAACATAAACTCGGTTCTTCTACCTAAAAAGTCTGCAATATATACCGAAGAAAAGGAAACGAAATCACGGATCAAGTCTCAAAAGAAAGCATAATTTTCTTAAATCTTACTTTTTATGTTTTGTTGATAACGTGATGTTGGGATTGGTCATATAGAAAACTCAAGCTTTTAATCTAGTGTCGATGTGGTTGAGAAAGTTGTTCAGATACCATTTACTATTTATAAGATTATAAGATATATTTGTTGGTTCTAGTATTTTAAACAAAAAAAAAAAAAAAAAAAAAAATGGAATATATAATATTGTTGAGAGGATCATATCCCAAAATCTAGAACTATCCAAAGATTTGGAGTCAATTAAGAGAAAATCGGGAAAAGGAGGAAATGCTAAATAGCACAATTTGTCATTTTACGTGTACGTATAATTATTTGTTTGTTTGACGAATTTTGTTTTACCTTTGTTTGTTTAAACTTAAGTACACGATAGTAGCGTCAAAAACAAAAAATTAACATGTCAAAAAGCATGCACGATAGTAGTTTGGTTGAGTTGCCTAGAATTCGGGTTTGGTTTAAGTTCAATTTGGATTCAGTTTAGTTTGGTTTTTTATGATTCGGTATAAAATTTTACAGGACTTTTAAATTATAGTAAAATTTGACTAGTATTCATCAATATGGGTCTTTTCATTTTGGTTTTTATGCTTAGAACAAAAAATCACAATCCAAACTCTCACTAAATTATGATATGATAATATATGGGATCATGTCTCTATCGAATAACCCAAACAGTTCCACAAAATTTTATGCAATCAAACTAAATATACCAGACTTGTCAAAATGTTACTAAAAATGTTGCATATATAGCTACATAGGTGCTATGTATTTTTAATATAATTTTCTTGAGAAAAAATAACGACTTACTAACGTTGAATTTTTTCTTGCAAAATTTGCTTGAAATTTAACATGTCGTAAGAAAGTTGCAAATTAGTAACGAAAATTTACAACAAAAGCTTTTGTTGGAATATTGCAATGAATTTGTAATAAAATTGCGATGTGTATTTATTATTGCAAAAATATTGCAAAATGTATTGCAAGATTTCAACAAAAACGATCGTTGCAATAATTATGTTGCAATATCTCTATTTTCTTGTAGTGAAAGAACATTCTGTCGGTTGTACAGTCTTTAACCATTTCACTTAAGCAAGTTGTTTATAAATTATAATAACAACAAAAACTATACAGATTTTTGCTTAATACATGGCTCGTTAACAAAGCATAAAAAAGTTTTTATTGCTCACATGGGACATGTTATTATCTATTGTGTGTGATATATATACATACATATACGCATTTTTTAATAGCTAAAACCTCAAGAAAGTTCGGATTTACTTCGTAATTAATCTTACCAGAATTGGAACTAGCATGTAAATATGTGTTGATAAGTAAATACACTATCCCATCTAAGACTAAATCTATCATCACTTGGTTATATGTATGCAAAACATGTTAAGTAATATAGTAAATCCTAAATGAATGAAGTTTGTTTCCTATAATTTACCGCCGATTGCCAAAAACAAATATGAAAAAATCGTATGCAAAGACAAGATTGTCAATCCTAGACTCTGTTGGCAGGTAAAAGAAAATAATAAAATGACCAATGGGTTAGGAAACCCTAATTAAAAAAAAACATGGATTTGTGTTAGCTCGGTTTGATGTGAATTTTATTTTGCCAAGAGTGATTTAAAATACTACTAATGATTTGATTGTAGATTACAAACATTTTCTTGTACACGAATTACTGCAATACTCGCATTTTTCTTGTACAAACATTTCCCCACTATAAATGATAGTTCTGTTTATAAGAATCAAGCGATCATTAATATCCTGAAACCTGTTTTTGGCAATCAAGAAAATAACTTGCGAAAAACATGCCCAACCTATTCTTCTCTAAAACTGCAGACTCCAAAAAACAATGTTCCAAGCAAAATCTTGATGACCAAAGAGATTCCAGAAAACAATTTGCTCTCTAGTGAGCTTCATATCAACAGTATAAGTCTTTTACTTATAGAAAAGAAAGCAACAAAACAAGTATCGTTCACATCATACACCAAACTGAAAAAGACAGCATTTCCCCAAATCACGTATAGAATCTTAAATCATATAAAAATACAATTTGTTCTTTGCTTATATAATTTGAAATATCAATGTTAGTGTGATTTGTCGTCATGTTACACATGCATATAATATTAATTCATTCTTTGATTTGGCAATATGTCTCTTTATACATGCATTGAATCCACCGACCAAGTCTACTAGATGCTTTGAAAGTTTGAATTATATAATAATAGAAAGATTTGTTGTGACGAGCAAGCTGAATCGATTTGGAGAATTGGATTCCGGTCCGGTTTTATAATTGTTCGACTACAATAATGTCAAAGTGCGCAAGAAAGATAAAAATCTCATTGTCATCTTTTAAGCAGCAAGAAAGTAATGTATAAAGGTTGAAGTTGCGCAACACCTAACAAAAGGGAGATAAAGAAAAGACCAAACAAAAAGGTAGAGAAAGAAACATAAAAGAGGAGCGAAAGAGAAAGAACTCAAAGAACCATAACAAAATTATATATAACAAAATTCAATAGACTAATGAGTTTGATATAGATAATCGGGATACGTTTCCAATTTCGTGTAGATTTGGTGTGGAGTTATTTTTTAGAAAAATTCATACTATTTGATAATTTGTGAAAACTTGCGAACGAGCGATTTGAAAGCTGGGAGGAGAATATGACTAATAATTTCAAGATCGGGAGATAACCTAGATTGAGATGAAATTAACATTCATACGAAAATGTGATTGAGATGAAAAAAAAAAAATGTGATTGAGATGATGAGTCTCATATACATATATATTCTACATCAATAACATATCTAAGATAAGTTTGACCAGAACAAATAAGGCCTTAAATCAAAGATGTGTAAACATAAAGATACACATTTATTAATAAAATTATTTGTAAAAAAAAAAATTGATACTAAAAATAAAAAAATGCCATCAAACCATTTTAAAAATTTAATAACTGTATATATAGATTTTAAATTAATTAATTTTTATCCTGATAGTTTTCATTAATTATTTATCATCTAGTTGTTCACCTTAATTGAGGAAAAATCTTAAATACATTGCTTACCTTACCATTCATAATTTGTTTTCTTTAGAATCTGAATCTACCATCAATTAAAGAAATCTACAAGTAATTTATAATATAAAAAGGAAACAATAAGGTAGTTTTAAAATTTTAATACTATTGACTATCTATAGTAACAAATAATAATTTTTTAAAATTACGAATACGCTTCCCCTTTTGAGTGTTTAAAAAGCCGTTTATATGTTTCTTCTAGTTGTTATTGAAACTGACACAGAGAGAAAACATAAATAATCAGTTTCAATTTTGTTATAATTGCAACAAAAAATTTCGGAAAATAGAGAGAAAGAGAGTGAGGTTGGTGATGACCAAATTCTGAGGCTGATCAATAGTACAAAGCTTGCAAATCAATGGCGCAAATTCTGTTGGTAAATGGTAAGTAAAGAAAAAAAGAAAGCTTTTTTTTTCCTTTAGATGTAACTGTCGGGAGAGCACTCACGTGTTTCTGTCTCTTCACCTGTAAATATTCTCGCCACGTTTGCTCTCTTTTTTTTTTTTCCTGAGAAAACGCAAAGAAAAAGACTTGTTTTTTAATTTCTTTTGGGTTCGAGAGCATGTGGAGGCAATGGGTTCTTATCTTCTTCAACATTTATTTGTCTTCAATATCTTTAATTCTTCAATGATAAGCAGATCATCTCCATACAAATCGATTCACGTCATCGAAAAATTCAAACTTTGAATTAAAAAATTCTGTAAGTGGAAAAATAAAAACACAGTTGGCAATATGGGCAAGCTAATAATTGAATTATCTCCATTTATGGCTAAAAGCTATAACACTAGGCTCTACACTTTTCAAGTCAATTCATTTTCTGGGTTTTTCTCTATTTTGAATCTTATCTTACCTAAAGGTGGGTACTTGTTGTTCAATTTTAGTGATTTAGGGTTTTTGATTGTACTTCTTTTTCTGGGTTTTATCTAAATTCGTGGCATGTGCGTGAATGTGGCCTACTTTGTTTTCTTCCTTCTTATTTGGGAACAGAGTTGGGTTGTCGTATTTATTGTTACTTTGTAGGTTTCACTGTTTTCGTCATGACTTTTCAATTGCTTCTGCCAAATTTACCCAATTTTCTTTAGCTTCAGATTCATAAATCTATCTTCTTTCCTTTTGGTTGCCCAGGTTTAGCGTGTTAGGCTGAAGATTGAAGAGTAACCATGGATCTCAATCTCGGAAAATGCTGTGGTTCTCGTTCTTCTAAGGTTTGTTGTCCATTTTCTTTTAGATTTAATTCAATTTTGGAGCTTTGAGATGAATAAAGATTGGAGTTTTGACAATTATGCAGAAGGAATCATGGAGATCGGTTTTGCTTCTTGCTTATCAGAGTCTTGGTGTTGTCTATGGAGACTTGAGTATCTCTCCGCTTTATGTCTTTAAGAGCACTTTTGCTGAAGACATTCAACATTCAGAGACCAATGAAGAGATCTACGGTGTTATGTCTTTTGTTTTCTGGACTCTAACTTTGGTTCCTTTGCTTAAGTATGTCTTCATTGTCCTCCGAGCTGATGATAACGGAGAAGGTGAGGGGAAGAGACACTCTCAGACCAGAAAATCATCCAAAGACAGAAAATTTGTTTGCTTGCTTGCTTATGTAGTTATGTTACAATGTTCTCAGGTGGAACTTTTGCTTTGTACTCATTGATCTGCCGTCACGTCAAAGTTAGCCTCCTCCCAAACCGACAAGTCTCTGATGAGGCACTGTCCACTTATAAGCTGGAGCATCCACCGGAGCAGAACCATGATTCGTGTGTGAAAAGATATCTCGAGAAGCACAAGTGGTTACACACTGCTTTGCTGCTTCTTGTTCTTCTTGGGACTTGTATGGTTATTGGAGATGGACTTCTCACTCCAGCTATCTCCGGTATGATTGCTTCTGTGTGTGTAGATAGATATTCCAGTGTCCAATTGCTGGATAAAAGAGTTTTCTAATCTTTTCTTTTTGTTGTATGTATTGTAGTTTTCTCTGCTGTGTCAGGTCTTGAGCTGAATATGTCTAAAGAACATCACCAATGTAAGTATACAAAGACTGGTTAATGTTAGATTTTGCTTTTTGAGTTCTGATCAATGATGGCTTTCTTTGTTGATCAAACGTGCAGATGCAGTAATTCCTATTACCTGCTTCATATTAGTCTGCCTTTTCTCGCTTCAGCATTTTGGGACTCATCGTGTTGGGTTTGTTTTCGCGCCCATTGTCCTCACTTGGCTGCTCTGTATAAGTGGTATTGGCTTGTACAATATAATACAGTGGAATCCTCATATTTACAAAGCTCTCTCTCCTACATACATGTTCATGTTCTTGAGAAAGACGAGAGTAAGTGGATGGATGTCCCTAGGCGGGATTCTGTTGTGTATAACTGGTGAGTTATAACTTAGAAGAATTCTATATCGTTAATGCCGCCATAAAAATGTCATTATTTTAACTCGTTGAGTCTTTGTCTAGGTGCTGAGGCCATGTTTGCTGATCTTGGTCACTTCAATTATGCAGCAATTCAGGCAAGTTTGAACTTAGCTTGGATGTTTTACTTATTGGTATATCGCCACAGGTTTCAATAATTCTTTGTTTTGTATGCTGTAGATTGCATTTACCTTCCTGGTTTATCCGGCTCTTATATTGGCATACATGGGGCAAGCTGCTTACTTATCCCGCCATCACCATTCTGCTCATGCGATTGGGTTTTACGTCTCTGTGCCAAGTCAGTAGGCTGCCTTAATTCAAGAACTGAAAATTTATTTGGTGTTGACCATTGAGAGCAAAATCTGAACTTCTGTTTCCTTGGTTTTGAACAGAATGTTTGCACTGGCCTGTGCTTGCTGTAGCAATTCTTGCTTCTGTTGTGGGAAGCCAAGCGATCATCAGCGGGACTTTCTCCATTATAAATCAAAGCCAGTCTCTTGGATGTTTTCCTCGAGTCAAAGTCATTCACACCTCCGATAAGATTCATGGTCAGATTTACATACCAGAGATTAACTGGATGCTCATGATTCTCTGCATCGCTGTTACTATCGGGTTTAGAGATGTAAAACACCTGGGAAATGCATCAGGTATAAGACTCTTTGATCAGCTCATTAATTTAGTATTCTCGACTTTGAGATCATATATATTTGTTCCTTTTTGGTTGCAGGTTTGGCTGTAATGGCGGTTATGCTAGTGACGACATGTCTTACCTCATTGGTCATTGTTCTTTGCTGGCACAAGCCTCCGATTCTAGCCCTCGCGTTCCTTCTCTTTTTCGGATCAATAGAACTTCTTTACTTCTCGGCCTCACTCACCAAATTCCGTGAAGGCGCTTGGCTTCCCATCCTATTATCCCTAATTTTCATGATCATCATGTTTGTTTGGCATTACACCACCATAAAAAAATACGAGTTTGATCTCCAGAACAAAGTCTCGCTTGAATGGCTTCTTGCACTGGGTCCAAGCCTCGGAATTACTCGAGTCCCCGGTATCGGTTTAGTCTTCACAGACTTAACCTCTGGAATCCCCGCCAATTTCTCCCGGTTCGTCACCAACCTCCCTGCTTTCCACCGTGTACTCGTCTTTGTCTGCGTGAAATCTGTGCCTGTCCCATTCGTTCCGCCTGCTGAGAGATATCTCGTGGGCCGTGTGGGTCCCGTTGACCACCGCTCTTACCGCTGCATTGTTCGGTATGGATACCGTGACGTCCATCAAGACGTGGATTCATTCGAAACTGAGCTCGTGAGCAAGCTTGCGGATTTCATCCGTTACGACTGGCACAAAAGAACACAACAAGAAGACGACAACGCTCGGTCAGTGCACTCCAACGAATCCTCAAGCGAGTCAAGACTGGCCGTGATCGGAACAGTAGCTTACGAAATAGAAGACAATCTCCAACCAGAGAGCGTCTCAATCGGATTCTCCACAGTCGAAAGCATGGAAGACGTCATACAAATGGCCGAAGCAGCCCCAACCGCCACCATAAGACGGGTGAGGTTTGCACTTGAGGAAAACAGTTACGAGGACGAAGGATCATCGTCGTCCGCAGAGGCAGAAGCAGAACTGAGAAGCGAGCTGAGGGATTTGCTGGCAGCGCAAGAAGCAGGGACGGCATTTATATTGGGACATTCACATGTAAAAGCGAAACAAGGATCATCGGTGATGAAGAGATTGGCAGTTAATTTCGGTTATAATTTCTTAAGGAGGAATTGTAGAGGAGCTGACGTGGCTCTTAAGGTTCCACCTGTTTCTCTTTTAGAAGTCGGCATGGTTTATGTTGTTTGACTTATAAAAACTAAATATATGCAAACCTAATTCCTCTGTTGTAAATTCGTCATGTTTAGCTTCATAGATCTCTGTTTCTGTGTTTGTTAGTGGTTTGACAAATGGTTAGATCAAGATGGTCAAAGTTTAATGAGAGAATCATAAATAAAAGCTTACCGAACTTTTGTGTACATAACGCATAAAACGACAGCGTATGGGAGAGTGGTCCAAAACGGTGCGTTTGTGAGTTGGAGAATGGGCATGGATCATGGCGGGAAAAACTAGCAGATATGGCGGGAAAGGCCCAACTATACACACTTCACAATGCCCTTAATTCGTGTTTGAGCAAAGAAGACTCAATCTCTCATCATCTCTAAATTCTTAGCGATTCGCTTTATAGAACTTTGGCAGAAAAAGTAAGAATCAAAGGTTGGTTTGAGATATGGGAGGACCAGCTTACGATTGTCTGACTAACCCTTTAGGAGCCGTCCGATTCTCCTTCGTAAATGCTCTGTCTTCTGGCTACGATCCGGCGTCGTCTGTCGGAAAAGACTGGGGAGTCGTCGATTTGTTCCGTCACTACTTCTCCGACGAATCTGCTATCTCCCAGGTTTACCCTAAAACCCTTACTCTGCTTTTTTGGTTTTGGGTTTAGGGCAATTGAGTATGTTTTGATTTAATTACTACCCAATTCGTTCTATCAATTTTCAGCATAAAAAGGTTCAAATTTCGTGTAATTTGGCTCTGTTTTTAACTAAATCAGCTTACTTTAGGTTTTAGTCTATCCACAGATTGGTTAATTTGGGTTTCCAAGGATCTTTTCTGAGATTGTTTTTTGACTACCGTAGGTTCCAGTTCTTGATTCGTCAAGTATTAAGTGGGTGCAACCCAAGACTCTTGTTCGGTTTCGTGGAATGATACAGGACATGCTTGGAAATGAATTCTATGCTGGTGCTTACAAGGTAGTAATATATGATTATTATTCACTGAGCTTTTAATGGTTTTAGTAAAAAGAATTCAATCTTTATTTGTCAATAACTGTTTTATTTAATGTTTTGTTTAGGATGATTCAACATGGAGAACAAACAAGTACAGTGATGTATCACAGTTTCCTGAGGGTTCTTCTACTGAAATGCAAGTTTGGGAGCGTCGCTTACTATACTGCGTTCCAGTATGTTTTGTCTCATGCTGATCTTTGTTTTTTGTTGTTGTTTCGCTGTCATAGGTGTTTAAACATAATAACACTTGGTTTCAATGTTTAGGTTCCAGGACAAAACCAATGGACTGAATGTTCTTCTCAAGAGCTGAAAAACCGATTTTTGGATCTAACTGGCCAAAACAGGGAAAAGCGTGTGAGGGTGGATGAAGAAATGACTGATTCCATTGACTCCAATGTAAGTACTTTAGTTTCTTATCTTTGCTTTATATGAAACCGATTTTGTTGTAGCAACATCTATTGGAGTTGTTGGTCAATAACTTATTTTAGCCACCATTGCAGGCTTTAGAAGCTGGGCTTAATGGCTCTCCTTTTAAGAAAATGGTAAGGATATAGTTTCTCAAGTCTTTATTCAATGTATTTATAAGTATAACATTGTAAGCGATAAAGTTGTGGAAACCATAAATTCATAAACTTTTCTTTACCTTGTGTTTATCAGAAAGTTGGGGAAGCTACTTCATCAGCTTCAGAATCTCAGGTTCCACAAAGTTCTGGTATTCCGCCTGCTACAAGTACAGAATCTCTACCTTGTCTTGTGAAGGTACATATATGTTTTCGTTTTTCATTATAATACCTGTTAACATGTGTATACAAAAGTTGACAATTCTTATGCGGCCACGCAGATGTATGATTCTCCGGAGTCAGATTTGAAGCTAAATGATGTGGTTGAATTCCTTGGAGTGTTGACCTTCGATCCAATTGTTATGATGGATACAGATTCACTTGATGAAAACTCTGATGATCTTTCTGAAGCTGAATCTGTTCAAATGCCCTCTGCAAAGGTCCCACGCCTCCATTGTCTTATCCACAGGAAGCTTGAAACACAACATTTCCTGCGTGGTTCTTCGTTATTACCAGAGGCAAGTACCATCGATTTAGAAAATAGACCTCTCATACCTATTCTTGTTTTGACATTTATTACTGAATCTCTTGTTACTTGTCATTTGGCAGCCAAAATCCCCCCAAATATTCAAAGAGATAAGAGAGAGTTTAATGAAGTACCTTACTGGCCTACTTGGGAATGATCACATTGCCTCACAGTTCCTATTATTGCATCTCCTGTCGAAGGTACGTAATTAGTTGAAAATGGATCACTTGTTCTTTATTCTCAGCTATTACTGCTAGGCCCTTGTATATTTACATGGTTTTCCTCCTTTACAGGTGCATGGAAGAGTAGATAATGTTGCTGTTGGGAAGCTTTCGCTTAATCTCATACACCTTAACAAAGAAAGCATGTCTATCTTTGGTACCCAGCTCAGTGATGCCCTCAAAAGCCTCCTACCATTCACACAATCTATACCACTTACTATTGAGTATCTGAACACTGCCTCCCTCGGTCCCAAGAAAGACTATCGAATAAACAGGTAAGAATCCAGCTCTATGATTATAACAAGTGTTTTGAATCATTCTTCTCTTGAAAGACCTTCAAGTATATTGTTTTTGTGACTCAGATTGATGCCTGGAGTTTTACAAATTGCTGATGGTACGCACTTGATATTGGACGAAACAGAGTTGCAACCAGGCACCTTGAACTCTGTTGGAGTTGAGAATGCAAATCTGCTCAAAAACCTCTTGGAATGTCAGAAGGTAGAGCAACTGTCATTATTCACTTTTAATCAGTATCAAATATGAATATGGATTCTGTTGCTATTTCAGGTGGAGTATGATTTCCAATATTACAAAATGGAAATGGCCACTGATGTTCAAATGCTCATATTTTCCGAGGGAAAATCGAACATACTGCCCGCCGATTTGGTTCTACCTTTTCAACCTTCCCAAGTGAATTCACTGGAAGTCATCACACCAGAAACAGCAGAAGCTTGGAGGTGCTACTTAGCTACTTGCAAATCGCTACCACACTCCATTGGGCAAGAGTTGCAACAGGTATGTATATCTATTGCATTAATGTAAGAATCTGCCAATCTGGTGCTTCTAAAGAAATCCATTGTTTTCAAACTTTTGAATAATATTTGTCTGCAAAATTTTGTTGCAGGTGGTAGAGAATGATTTGGTTGCAGCTAGACAAACGGATCGTAGTTTAGGCAGCCAAGACTTGAGCAGGTACAAAAGCCCTCCTAATGGTTTATCCATATCATATATGTGCAAAATTCACAATTATGTTCTTTGATTCCACAGATTGTTGACAATGGCTCGTATGATGTCTGTGAGTTATGGTGAGACTACGCTTTCACTAGAGCACTGGCAAATGGTGTTGGAACTAGAAAGACTTAGAAAGGAGAGGCTCAAGTAAAACCACTGAAACGAAGAAGGGAGACTAAAGGTTTCGAGATTATTTGGATCTTGTAATTTTCACTAAGTTATATATGAGCAAGAAGAACAATCGTTTCCTATCTATTTATAAGGTTAAACTTTGAGCTTTTGACTGGTAATGGAAATTGTTTGAAAAAAATAAGAAAATAGTGTCGAATTTAAAGTTAGACGAAGATCATTAACACTCAAATGTCATTCTTGATATCTACTTTGTATATTTGATAAGTAAACTTTTTTTAATTAGAATGTTCGCATAGTAAACTTGGAAAAGGAAACTTGAAGACTTGAGCCTTATGGTAAACGAAGAGAGTAATATAATTAACAGATTTGAACTTTAATGTAACAAAATTGGAATACTCCACTAAAACGTGAAGTACTGAATAAAGCACACGCACTGTGATGGAACAATTAATGGCTAGAATGCCACTTTCTCCATAAAAGTAATCGGACTCCACTGTGACATCTCTACTTGAAGTTAAAAGTACCAAATAGATAAATTGACTCGAAGATTACTTTCTTGTTATGCAAGTAACGAAACAAAGCCAACCAATAAACCTAATTAAAGTACACTGTTATCTAATTAAAGATCACATTATCTAATATCTCTCACGACTCTCGTTTGTCTGAACTGAAAGAACAAACTAAAGACGCACCCAGTTTAACGAGTTCCCAAAGTCAAACTGATCCTTGGTACATCTCGGATAGGCTTTGCCATAGCAGTTCAGTAGCTATCCAGTTTTCTAGATCAGTTTATTACACAAAGAGAGATAGAGAGGAAAAAGAAGATCAGGTCAAAAGAAGCTTGGCGACACTTGTAATCAACGACCTAGCTGTGGTTGGCGATGGAAGTCTCTGCGTAATGAAAGAATGGTTCAAGAGCTGTGTCGCGGTGGGCCTGTGTGGATGCATGTCACGGCACAGCGTCAAGAAATCTTGAGCCTCCGGGGAGATTTCTCGATGCAATATCCAATCGTAATATTCTTCAAAGTACTCCTGCTCAGGTACAGCTCCAAACATCTCAAAAACCACACACCCTAGAGCATATATATCAAGTCCCGGATCGATATGGCCCGGCTTGATCAGTCCGTTTGGCCCAAAAGCCTCTGATGGTATGTACTGAGCCGTACCAAGGGACATAGAATCATATTCAGAATCAGGTTCCTTGGATGATCCGAAATCAGCAAGCTTGAGATCCCACGGCTCTCCAGGAGTTGTGGAAGGGAAGACGAGAACGTTGGATGGCTTGAGGTCGCAGTGAACGTAACCATCGGAGTGAAGAGCCACGAGTCCTTCTAGGATCATACGAGCCGCCCGACTGACCAAAGACTCCGGTATGGGCTGTGATTCGTCGGGGAAACCAGATAAAATCTTATAGAGATTACCTTTGGAGCCGTACTCCATATAGATGCTGCAATATTCATAGGGTTTGGTTTGAAAGTGAAGCTTGTTTGAAGCTTGGACGATGCGAGGATGATTGCGGAAACGATGCATGATCCTGAGCTCCTTCTCGAGAATCTTTTGGAGATGCATCGACGATGACTTCTTTGCGTATAGTCGACCGGAGTTAGAGTCCTTCTCGAGAGAGACGCGACCGAAGCTGCCTCGGCCAAGAGAGGAGACCTTCGTCAAGGAAGACTCGTCCACAATCCAATCATCATCTCTCCAAAGTTGCTCCATCTTACCTATTCGATCTTCTTCAGGGTTTTTTCTCTGCTTTTTTTTGTTTGTAATCTGAATAATTAAATGTGATAGTTATTTGACATGTACTCTATATCTATTTATATATGTACATGTTTACAAAGTTTAACTATATCAAAAAAAAAAGTTTAACTATATCAAATCAATGTTTAATATTATCCAATGCTTAAATATTGAACTAATGTATTTAGATAAATATTAAAACTGTTATGTATAAAAGTTGTTCAAAGAATTGGTTGTTGTAGCAATTTCGTAATTATATTTTCAGAAAATAGCTTTATATATTATTGAGAGTTAATTTTTTTGTTCAAAAGCGTAACAATTTGGATAACCAAATTTGGAAATGAGCTCTAAGAAATTGAAATAAGTGGAAATCAAGATATATTTTTTTCTTCTAAGTTTCCATTTTTCATATTTTAAGTTTTTTCCTATTGTTTTAATTGATCTCTTAATTTTATGATATCAATTTTTCATTGTTAATTTCAATTTAAATTTCCTATAATAAAAAAATTTCAATATTTGTCAAACCCATGATTTTTTTTTTTTTGGTCAAACCCATATCTACTACTCATGATATGAATCTACACCAAAAAAATAAAATAAAAATGCAACAAAATTTTTGATCACCCACTATTTACAATTTTGTTAATTTACTATTTTTTTTCTTCTAAATCTTTCGTATTTTGATAGAATCATCACTGAATAAAATAATAATAAACGCACCAGCCGTTAAAAAAAGCGTGAAAAACATAGTGGAGCCCTATCCTTGTCTCTCTCTCGTATCCCTCTCCTCTGTTCCATCTTCTCCTCCGCCGATCTTCCTCTCTGCTCTTTCCTCTTCTTCTTCTTCTGTTTTTTTATATAATTTATTTATAAATATTCTCTCTTAAAACCCAATTCAAAAGAACCAAACGAAGAAAAACCTCCCTATTAGAATCTTCCTTAATCTTCAGAGAGAATTAGTTTCCAATATATAACAATGGCTGCAAACTCAGAAGATCCGATGATGACAACAAGAGATAGTATTTACAAAGCTGCAAGAAGTATAAAACGACGAGACAACAGTCTCTACAACGCTCTTCGATCTATCTACCAAGACTCCATCTTCGTCCACGAGATCTCTCAGCTTTGGCCTAAACTTCCTCTCGTTGCAAACCTTCGTTGTGGTCTCTGGTACTCACCCAAATTCGACGCCACTTGCTACTTCAAATCCACCGATGGTCATACCAACAATTTGTCCTTTAACACTTCTCGTCTCAATCTCCATCTTCCTCTTCTCGCTGGTACCAATTCAACATATCTATCTTTCATTGTTTCAGAATTTCTCTATGTGTTTAGTATCGAAATTATATATCTTTATGCATTGTTTCATTGTTGTGTTGTGATTGCAATTGTTTTTCCAATGGATAGGAGAAAAAGGAGGATGTATCATTATAGATTCTACTCGGAAAGGAAAACGATTTCCCGATAGCATGTCGAAAACGATACCTATATGGTCTTGTGTACTGAACCGTTCAATATTTAATCATTGGAAGAGATTATGTAACATTGATGCAGTGAGTTACAATGTAGACCATAACTCTTGTTATCTTTTTTTGAGCAAGTGTTCTTGAATCAACATTCTGTTTTTCTCTGTTTTTTGTATAGGGTTTGACTAGTGATGATGGTGAGAAGATAAGGGAATTGTTAGATAAATGGGAGTGTTCGTTACATCTACCACTATGGGTTTCAAATACTGAGAGGGCCTCTATAGAAGCTAGATTGGATGAGTGGACAAGTCAGTTAGATGAGAGTGGAGCTGATATAGCTACTCTAGCTTCATCTTTGAGAAAACCTCTGCGGCCTCTTTGGGTTTCACAGAAAACTGTCATATGGTTGAATGAAGTACCTGACCATGATTCATGGGATTTCACACCTCTCATTCTTGTCTCAGCTTCTGCTTCTGGTGAACTTCAAAACAGAACCAGTTCAGAGTTTAGTTGGAATTATATTCCAGGAGCTGGTGATGACGAAGAGAGTTGGGCTAGAGGTTTATCTCCAAATGTTTTTTGGACACATGTTGATGATATTATTCACTCGGGGCCTGACTTGTGTAACCAGAAAGTTGCAGAGATTGTTGAAAACGATAGAGTGTATCGAGCGCAGAGAGGTCAGGAAGCTCCTCAGGTTGTTGTCAAATGCTCAAAATCTAATGGTGTAGTCAACCACGCTAAGAGTGGTGAAATCATATCTCTTACTCCACAAAAACCTAAAGTTGATGAAGAAAGTTTAGTATTTTGGTTGGCATCAACAAATCTTGCTGTTGGAGCATCACAAGTAGGTGAGTTTATACTCTCAATCTTGAGGTTCTCGACATTTGTCTCTTTCTTACTATAAATGTTGTTGCTTTGGCCTCTCATGAAAGCTTCTTATCCTTTTGTGTTGCAGCTGGTAAGGTGACATCAATTGACTGCATATTAAATTGTGATCAAAACCCCATCTCAGTCCCTGTATCATATTTTGAAGAGCATTTGCATCTACCCATGAAGGTATGCCTTTAAGACAAACTAAAATTTTACATGATACGCAGTTTTTTCCTAGAGAAAATATTCATGAAATGTATATATGTCTTCCAGGGTTCAAAATTTGATAGAATTTCTATATCAAGAAATCTTCGTGCCGCGGTTAATTTTGCTAAGCTCAAGATGAGTTCAGGGAAGAAAGTCTTAGTTTGTTGTCAAGATGGTAAGTTTCTATTAGTATTTTTGTAAGTTCAAGCATAATTTGTAGTTTTTAACTCTTATGTCGGTCTAATCCATATTGTGATTGTGATGATAGGGGAAGATATCAGTATATGTGTTTGTTTGGCCATTTTGATGTCATTATTTAATGAAGAAGGTAATGTTTTGTACTTCTTCGGTTTTTCGTAACCATAATGGTGTCTTTAACCTTATAACACATAAATCTAAAAACACTTGAACTTATTGGTTTATAATTGTAGCATGATGCTGAGACATATTTGAATCATTTGTAGGGAACTTTGATGGTGGAAAATCCTTTGAAGAGAAGAGTATAACAAAAATGGATATGCGAAGGATGCTAATATTTATATGCAAATACGCGGTGAATGCTCGACCATCTAGAGGCAATCTAAAGCAAGTTTTTGGTTTTCTCTCGTCTCAGCGGGAAAATTCAGACTAGTAAAGTAGAGAAATGCTCCATGTATGAAGATGTATGATGTATCCCTCAAGCTTTTTTAGTTGGGAAATCTTACATTTACGATAGTGTTGTTGTTTTGGTAGACTTTTTTTGTGTGTGTACTAAGAAAAAACTAATTATCACTGATTTGCAAAATGCTGGTAAAATCTATACTAACTTCATTACATTATAGGCATAATCATTAAATATTCTTGATTAGATTTGTTTAGTTTACACGTTACATTAACTATTGTAGATTGAACAATATTTATCTTTTGAACCAAAAAAAAAGAACAACATTTGTCTATCATTAAGCACACAAAGTAATTTACCAAAATATCTAATATTTATAACACATTTATATGCTTTATATTATTGATCAAAATTAACCCAAAAAAAAATCTTTTAAAAAATGTGTTCTAAATATACATTAAATCATCTTGATTACATTTGCTAATTTGCATTTTTTTTTAATAACTAAGTATTCCTAATTAGATGATTTGACACAAAGTAATTTATCAAAATATTATATATTACGTATATAGTAAAATTTACAATATATATAATTATGTTTTTGTATTATATAATTAAACAATTAACCCCAAAAAATCTGAAAACTAGAGTTCTAACCAAAAAAAATACAGAATTAAGTTGAATTTGCTAACCAAAAGAAGTCCTTCATTGGAGACTGTCTGTGTTCTTGACTTCTTGGCAACCTAGTCTCGTCACTATGGATATTATCGAAGATCCAAAAGAGTCTTCATTGCAGACTGTCAGTGTTCTTGGCAAACTAGGTCCCTTCGGCTTTGTGTCTCTCCAGAATGATACAAACTTGGGGAAATCATACGTCAAGAAGACAAGTATTCTCGAACAGTCTAAGAATCTGGAGAAGGAGCTCAGAATCATGCTTCGTTTCCACAACAATCCCTTCATCGTTCGAGCTTCAAGCGATCATCTTCACTTCGTGACCAACACAAAAAGCATGAGTTTGTGTTACATCTACATGGAGTATGCTTCCTTAGGGAATCTCAACAAGATGATTTCTGATGCCGGAGGGAGATTGCCTGAAGATAGTGTCAGACGTGCCACACGTATGATCCTACAAGGACTCAAGGCTCTTCACTCTGAAGGTTACGTCCACTGCGACCTCAAGCCATCAAATGTACTTGTGTTCCCTTCCAACACTCTTGGCGAGCCATGGGATCTCAAGCTTGCTGGTTTCTGTTTATCCAAAGAGCCTACTATGGATTCTAAACTGTTGTTTCCTGGAACCCTTGAGGAGTACATGCCGCCTGAGGCCATTGAGCAGGACAGGTTTGTTGGGCAGGACAAACTGATCGGACCAGCCCGTGATATATGGTCTCTAGGACGTATTGTTCTTAGGATGTTTGGGGGTATTCCTGTTGAGGTGAGAGGTTCTAACACTTGGAGGCTGTACGAAGATATCTCTCCGGAGGCCACAGACTTCGTGAGGAGGTGCTTGGCATGGCGCCCTTCGAATCGGGCCACCGTGGATGAGCTCTTAGACCATCCTTTTGCTGCTGAAAAACTTCCATTTCTCCTTTCTTTCTTAAGGGTTCCTTCTTTCATAAGAAGGATTGCCATGGAAAAATTGTATGTTAGACATGAGGAACTGATACCAAAACCTCAAGGGTTGCTCTGGTGACAATAAAATGAAACTGAATTTAAGAACCGAATCTCAACGCCTACTGTTTGCAATTTCTCTTCTAATTCTCAATTCAATACTATTTTTCACAAATATCCTAAGATTTTCGAATGTGCAGGGCATAACCTCACAACTTAGGCAGATTGCAAAACTATAGAGGTTTACATATAATTATAACAAAGTCGAGACATTTATTAAAGAAACAGCATTTGGAGATTCACATGGGAATAAAATCTGAAGCCAAAATACGAAAAACAAAAATCTTGAACAATGAAACTACAATTTAAGCTGATTGCAGATTTCAGACACGCGGTGCAGCTGCAGCTCCAGGTCCAGCTGGACGAGGGGCCTGTCCTGGTTGCCCAGGCTTGGGAGTATCCTCCTGATGATCATAATGCCGAAAGGAAACCATTCAGTAAAATGTCAGAAGAGTAAATCATTTCAACAACAAAAGATAGAACAGAATAGTCTCATAGAAAGCAGTATTGTTAGGGATTAAGTGAAGGTACTGGTTTGGTTAATCCACCTCAAAAGTCTACTTATTGAAACCATAAAAGACTATATTGAAACAACTATTATAGTTCAAAAGGTAATAACAGGAATCTTAAGATAATCAAACCCACAATTTGGTTCCTGCGAGAGAGTCAACTGTATATATACTTTGTACATGTCCAACAAACCAGTTTTACTTCAAACTATCTTCATATCTAACAGGGCAAAATGGAGCAAGCAGAAGTAATTACAGATCGACAAATGGAGCTTAAACCTACTAATGATCATTGAGTTGAGAAAGAGAGAGAGATTACCTTGCGTCTGGCGAAACGAGGTGGAGGAGTACGGACCCTACGGTTGGTGCGGGATCGGACTCTAACGACGTGAGAGTGGATAGCACAGGAGACACAGTATTGCGTCTTTGCATATAGCTTCGGTAATGTGTATCCTATCAATTACATAAATCAATCAAGTTGCAAATCTCAGGAAATTTTTCAATGCCAAGAGTCTAAAAATCCAAACTTTTTATGTACATATATTTAACAAATACAAAGAAACATAAAGAGAGCGATGAAATGATACCTTCGTAGACGCTAGCTTCCTGGACATCTCTAATAGCAGCCTGCTCCACAATGTTCCTCACAATGAACCTCTTAATGGCCTTGTCCTATCCAATATTATATAACCAACCACAAGATCTAATCAAAACTCCACATAGGAACTACTGGAGATTGATTGATTGAGAAGAGAAGGTGGAAAAGAGTACCTTGGGACAACATTTGCCACAGTTGGAGCATCTGATTGGCTTGACGTGACCTCTGTTGTGCTTGTTCCTTCCACCGTTTCTGCGCTTGAAAGTCTGCAACACAAACAACAACAATGGAATTTTATCATCAATTCTCCATCTTTATTGTAAATGAAAGATAAGCAAACGAAGAGCTAAACAATGGATAAGTACCATCTTTGGCTTTTCCTCTGTTCTCGATGCGATGGACTTTTAGTGTGTGTGTGTCTGCTGCTGCTGCTAGGGTTTACTCTCTTCTCATCGATCTCGTCGTCTATTCTCAGATGGAGGAGCAGATCTGTAATGCTACTTATTGGGCCTTAAATTATATTGGGCTTTAACGTATTTTGGGCTTAGGTTTTATTTTCTCTTGTTTTACAATAAACAAACACTGAGTGAGTTTTTCATTCCAAGCAAAAGTTGGTCATGTAATAACACAACACCCCAACAAAGAATTCCTCTGTAAAGTCACAGTTACTTTTTTCCCAACAAAATCACACGTAACCTTAACAAAATAGAAGGAGATATCCATAGATAATCTAACAACAGTAACAAATCTAAATTAATGGAGAGACATTTAAGAGTAAACTTGAATTTTGCATACATGCACTAAATATGAATATGTTGTTGGATGGAAGCTCAGCTTCATTTACCTCAGGCGTCGGCCCCTCACAAACCCGGAATTTACAAACTGCTTTGTGGATGCAGCATGGTCATGGACAGACTCAGGGTCTTGCGGGTTGGGATGGATATTGCAGGATTCAAACAAAGTAAAGATCAAGGAGAATCAGGCCTCCCGTAGCTTTGTTGGTTCTGCTCTTATTGCAGAGACAATTGCTGTACATTCAGCTTTGGCGGATGCTCTATCTACCGGTTTGCTACAGCTAAATGTCTTCTCGGACTGTAAAGAGTTAATCTCCCTTCTCAACTCAGGAAATAGCATCGTTGCACTTTGAGGGCGACTTCATGATATCAGAGAATTGAGTGTTTCCTTTACCCATCTCTGTTTTTATTTCATTCCTCGTCTTGGCAATGTAAGCTGCAGATACTCTTGCGAAAGCAGCTTTGCCTTTTGTTTCCCCTTGCTCCGTTAGTGGAGGTTAAGGATGCTTATCATTATTATAAGGAAGTTTGATAAAAAAAAAAAAAAAAAGAATTCTCCGATAGAATATGCAGGACTTATATATTTAAACTTTAGTATATATACTTACTAATATAAAACATGAATAAATGAGTGCTTAACTGATCAGCACATGCACACTGGTAAAACCTATTTAAAGAAAGAAACTGACTTAAGAGTAGTTTTCTTCCGATGCAAGTAAAGAAACCAACTAAACAACTGAACCTAATTAAAAGTATATTGTTCTTTATGTAGATTGCAATCACCATATGGAAGCCTTAGTGTAGAGAAATCGACCTCAAAATCATATCACGGGAGACTCTGGTCTCGATGGCATTTATCTCACATCTCTCACGGCTCTCGTTTGTTTGAGTTGAAAGAAGAAAGACGCACACAATTTAACGAGTTCCCAAGGTCAAACCGATCCTTGGTACATCTCGGCTAGGCTTTGCCATAGCAAATCCACTATCCAGTTTTTTTTTTTTTTTTTTTTTTTTTTTTTTTTTTTTTTTTTTACACAAAAGATATAGAGAGGAATAAGATGATCAGGTCAAAAGAAGCTTCGAGACACCTGGAATCAACGACCTAGATATCTCCTTGTTGTCTTCGGTGGTTGGCGATGGAAGTAGTTCTTGTGTAATGAAAGGATGCTTCAAGAGCTCTGCCGCGGTGGGCCTGCGTGAATGTATGTCCTGGCACAGCCACAAGAAATCTCTAGCCTCCGGAGAGATAACTCGACGCAAATGCCACTCGTAAAATTCTTCAAAGTACTCCTCGATAGGTATAGCTCCAAGCATCTCATAAACCACACACCCGAGAGCATATATATCCAGGCCCGGATCGATGATCAGTCCGTTTGGCCGAAAAGACTCTTCTGGCATGTACTTAGCCGTACCAAGGTACTTAGAATCATAATCGGTATTAGGCTCCTTGGATGAACCGAAGTCAGCAAGCTTAAGATCCCACGGCTCTCCAGGGGTTTTGGAAGGAAAGAGGAGAACGTTGGATGGTTTGAGATTGCAGTGAACGTAACCATGGGAGTGAAGAGCCTCAAGTCCTTCTAGGATCATACGAGCCGTGCGACTGACCAAAGTCTCAGGTATCTTTTCTTCTTTCCTGCGGAAACCATATATAAACTTGTTGAGATTACCTTTGGACGCGTACTCCATATAGATGAAGCATTCAGAGGGTCTGTTATTGATGAAGCATTCAGAGGGTCTGTTGCTTTTTATGTGAAGGTGAAGCTTGTTTGAGGCTTGGACGATGCGAGGATGGTCACGGAAACGATGCATGATCCTGAGCTCCTTCTCGAGAATCTTTTTGTGATGCATCGGCGATGCCTTCTTTGCGCAAAGTCGAGATTTGGAGTCCTCCTTGAGACACACGTAACTGAAGTTGCCTTGGCAAAGAAGAGATAGGGTTGTCAATGAAGACTCATCCTCAATCCAATCATCATCTCTGCAAAGTTTCTCCATCTTACGTATACGATCTTCTTTAGGGCTTTGTCTGTTTTTTTTTTTTTTGTTATCTGAGTAATTTAATGTGATAGGTACATCAAATGTTACCCTATCTCGATCTACTTATATAGTTTCTGCTAGGTCGGTTTGTTGTTTTCAATCGGAACTACGACGTATACGGCCTTTTCCAATAACGGATTTTAAAAATCATGTCAGATTTACAAGTTAAACTATATCTAAATTAATGTTTAATATTATCCCATGCTTAAAATATTGAAACAAATTATTGAGGTAAACACTAGAGACAAAATAAATACATTTATAAAATTTTCAATAAAATAGTTGGATATATTCTCTTTCGGTTTTTTCAATGTGATCACCAAATATCTAAAGGAGCTCTAAACAATTGAGTTTTTGGAAACCAGAGCTACATATATATGAATATTCTCTTCCAAGTTCCAAGTAGTCTTCAAACAAAATAAAATACATACTTTTGTTAAATACATAAAGAGCAGTATTGCTTTGTTTTTTAGTTCTTGCTATCTACGTCTAAAGTCAGTTTTTGTTGTATTCCATTTTCTTATTTGTTTCTTCTCTGTAAAATTACATCTAAACAAAAGAAATATATGTAAACAATAAATAAAGCAAATACAAGTAATTTCCTTTTTTTCTGTATCTCATCTCAGAACACCTCTATTAGTTAAGATTCTCTCAAATAATATTTTAAATAGAATTTAGTGATTTCAATTAATTTAAATCTGTTGGAAAATTAAACCAATATCTATTGGAGATTTTGAGAGATTTAGTGGAATTTCCATATTTTGAGAGATTTTGAGAGATTTAGTGGAATTTCCATATTTTAGTATTTGGAGAGATTTGAATAAGTTTTTAGGATATTTAGGTTGATTTGTTAGTTTTTTTTTTTTTTAAGAAAAATACATAATAGGTGATTAGGTGAGATTTACTAGAATCATTTAGGAGGGTTTATTAACAAAAAACAAAACAGAAGTCGACGATTAAAAAAAAAGTAAAAAACTAATCAGAGTATCTCACTCCAAATCTCACCTGTGAGCAATCATCGTCTCTCTTCTCTATATCTGCAATATTATGCCCTCTTAATCCCACGACAAAAAGATACTTAATATTAATTATATAAAAAAAATGTTGAAGACTCAAAATTTTGTGTCTCAAATGTATGTTTTTCATCAGAGTAAATCTTTGTAATCTTCGCTTGTTTTCACATTAGAGATGACATAGTTTGCACATGAATGTAGAAATTTGCTTTTACGATCAATGTGACTAGAGAGATTTTCAAAAATCCATGTTTCAATACACCCCCCTAAGTGACATATGTAAGATGAGTTTCTTATTAAGAATTCATGAATCCTTAACAAAAACCCCAAAATTTTCTTTATTACAAAATCTAAATGTAACGAACAATCACAAGGCACAAATGCTTAATTTTAATGTGTGATGGTTTGGGGATTATTTGGGCGTATATTTGGCCGCTGGTGGAATCTTAGGCTTTTTGTAGCACCTCCTTTGCTTTGTTTACCCACACACTGAATATATCGTCAGCGAACAAAACAAAATGTACCTTAATAAGAATAACAATATGAGATCAAAAATGTGTCAGTCACTCAGCGAATTGATTCCATGGAAGTGTAACAATCTATACAAGAGAAACTATCTTACCTCTTTAAAGTCATTAGAGAACTGTTTGATGGTTGATATACCGATCGCAGCAGCTTCATCAAAAGGATATCTAACAAAAACATTTCGAACATAAGGTTTCCCTTTGAGTTTGCACAAAATTCCAAGAATTGTCAATCACTCTAAATAGCAAATCTAAATAGGGAAACAATATAAACCACTTAGCCTCTGGTTGTGAAAACTTTACCCGTAAATCCCACAAGATATGGCAGGAAATGCTATGTATTTGATGTTGTTTTCCTTTGCAACTCTCAGACTATTTCTGTAGCAAGAAAAAAGATGAACAGTTGGTTCAGAGGAAACATGTCTAGTAGAGTAAACAAGAGAAACTGTGTTTACGCTTACTTGTAAGCATTTGTGAGGGATTCTTGAGGGTTGACATCTGAGTCATAGATCGGTCCAACGGCGTGAATCACACGCGATGCAGGCAAGTTAAAACCCCTGTTCCAAATTTTCAATCCAACTGGTTCATCACTCAGCAATTCCAATTTCAAAATACATCAATCTACATTTACACATGAGTCGGAAAAGGGTAATCTCACGGAGTAATTCTTGCTTCTCCGGTTGGACAACGGACTCCAGGACGAACTTCAGGAACCTCATAGCATGCAGCTCTGAGTTGTGGCCCAGCAGCTCTATGTATTGCTGTCACATACATAAATCATATTTAAGATTACACCAACACAATGACACAATGGCATTGGATTGAACAGGACAAAGGATCCTAAGACATACCTCCATCAGCACCACCACCACCTAACATACGCTCATTTGCTGGAGTGACCTAAAGAAACAGAATGCTTAAGTCAAAAGTAATAATCATGCAGCAAAATTTGAGAGAACGAATTATACAATCCCAGAGCCTATCAACCATTTTCATCTACTTTTAGAAATCTATCAATTGTGGAAAAACCAGCCCTAGAATTTTGAATTGATTGAGAAAGAGAGAGACTTTACAATAGCATCGGAGGAGGAATCAACGGACCACTTGGTGATGTCTCCTTTAACAATCTTAAGAAGGCTAGAATCTGACAAATTGAAAACAGCTCCTTCGTCACCAGAAGGCATTGATGATGATACAGTTGTCAAGCGAGAAGTCCTCGTAGGAGAAGAGAGAGTAGACGAAGAAGAAGCGACCAAGGAGGTGGCGGAGATCAGAGAAGCTCTGGAGGAACACGAAGTTGGTCTAAGGATCGAGCTCGAATGAAGTAATCTAGGGAGACTCCAAACTCCACAGGTCAACCATAATCGTCTCATTTGAGTCGTCGCCAAATTCTCTCTCAATCACGGGGTTTTGGGCCATTAATAATAGTGATGATAATGGGCCTATTCATGGGCCTGATTAGATGAGAAAACACTCGATGAAAGATTTTCATAAACATCAATTACATTTTTGATTTTTCTCAAAGCTTTGTTTTCCTTACTGTGATGTGATGAATACAAGTTTGATAGATGAGACAATGGCATAAACACCTAAACCATTTTAAAACAACAATTGAGATTACTGAAGAATCGAGTTGTGGTTGTCTTCGGCGAGGGGGAGAAGTTGCGGCCTTGTGGTGGAGGTGGCAAGTCTTTTGCCTTGTTCAGCCACACCGTGTATGTTTCTTCGGTAAACATAACAAAATGCACCTGAGAAAGATTTTAGACTTACCAACTGAGATATCAAAGAGAACTTGTTGGACTTAATTAGCATTAGCATTTTTTAAGCATGATTAGTTGAAGGGGAAAGTTTAGTAAGAAGGCAAATAATTTTACCTCTTTAAAATCTTTACTAAATTGCTTAACAGTGGAGATAGCTATAGAAGCAGCTTCCTCCAAAGGATACCTAACAATCAGATCAAGAACAAAAACCAATTGAATTTATTTTATCTCTTTAGATGGTTCACAAATGGGAAGATATCTACCAACAATGCAAAGATCAAGTTTCTGATTCTTCCTAATATCTACAACTTTACCTGAAAATACCACAAGATATCGCAGTAAATGCTATGTAGCGAATGTTATTCTCCTTAGCCACTCGCAGACTATTCCTGTTACCAAAGCCAGTATAGAGAAAACATAAGTGAAGTAGCCGAGATAGATATTTTTTTCTCTACACAGAAATGTGTCTTCTTACTTACTTGTAAGCACTTTCTAGGAGTTTTTTAGGATTCTTCTCGGCATTATAAATGGGTCCAACCGTGTGAATCACATGAGATGCAGGCAGGTTGAAACCCCTAACTCCATTTCAAATAAGCAGAAAAAACAATGAACAAACTTAAATCATGAAAAAGATTCATAACATTTTAAACATACAAAAGAAAGAGAGAAGGAAAAACCAAACACACCGCGTAATTCTTGCTTCTCCGGTGGGACAACGGACTCCGGGACTAACTTCGGGGACTTCATAACATGCTGCTCGCAACTGTGGCCCAGCAGCGTCATGAATGGCTTCATTAATATGTATATGACAAATGAGTTAGTTAGAAAGGTTGTTAATGATCGTTATAACCTCCCTTATTTCCTAACTCTGTATATAAACAGAGTATGTAACACTAAATACTTACATAACATTGTAACTCTAAATACTTATATACCATCCATATAATGAGATCTTTATTGATGCTAAATTAAGAAAATAATTGAAGAAAAGTACCTCCATCTGCACCATTACCACCTAACATACGCTCATTTGCTGGATTAACCTGAAGCAATCAAAGTTTCCTCATTCTCAATCTCAAGTTCAAAGTTAAAAAAGTATCAAGGCACATAAACAAGCAACTTCTTCATACAATCGATTACGGTATTCCAAACTATATATTGATCTAAGGGACAAAAAAGAGAGAAGACTGACAATAGCATCGGAGGAGCCATCGACGGACCAATTTGTGATGTCGCCTTGAGAGATCTTAAGCACGCAATAATCGGACAACTTGAAAGCAACTTCTTTGCCGTCAGTAACCATCACTAAGATTGGCCAAAGCTTTTACCACTCCGGAGATAAAACGTTTGTGAAAACAGAGACGAACATACAATTTTTCTTCACGCGGTTCTTGACCGTTGACTTAAAATGCTCCTTGTTGGTAACACAAAACTCGATATTATTATATTCATCATGTATATTAAAGTATTTTGGGCTTTTAGCGATATTGGATTACAAAGAAAAGAAGGCCAATAATAAGGCTAAATTCCATAAACATGTAAAAAAAAAAAACCTTGCTCTTTGTAGGCACGATGAAAATACAACCATTGAAGCAATAATTCGTAAATAAGAAAAAAAAAAAGAAGCTAAGCTAAGCGGGTGCTTACGAGCCACCTCAGCAATACGCAGCCACGTCAGCACCCAAAACAGAGAGATGTGGATGATGATGGTCTGATCAGAATTGACCGCCTTGGTAGGTTTGTCCAAATTGCCAATTAGAAGGAGCCACGTCATTGCTAACGAGTGTGCGACCATCGCTGGTGGTGACCTGGAAGGAAAGGCTTTGGTCGTTCATGTAAGAATTGCTCTGCCAGTTTTGTCCCCAATTTCTAGACATTGCTTGCCATGACTGTGTTTTTGAGCCTTTGATCGAGACAGCATGTACGTCTCCTGCCCCTCCTACGTTGGAGATTAGAACGAGGTTGAAGTATGAGTGCCCATTGATCGTGAACCTTATTCCTCCTTTCTTCATACATGGTACTCTGCAATCACACATAAGCACCGACATGATCCATAAGTTTTAGACCATGGACTTATTCAAGGTCTTGCCAAGTTTAAAGAAAAGTAAACGGACCTTCGGAAAGAGACAGGAACAATGCCGGCACGATACTGAGCGATCTGGAGAAAAGCTGGCTCGGCTAGGTCGAAATGTTGAAGAGGAGGATTGCACCAACCTCCATTATCGTTGGAGAGGCCAGGGTTTGGTGGGCAAAAGTTAGTGGCTGTGACGGTGATGGTAGACCCGAGACACCACCTCGGGTCATCGTTACACTTCATCTCATAGCACGCGCCACACGTGAGTCCATTGTTGAATAGAGCCGTACTTAAAGCCGCCGTGTTCGTCCCGTAACCTTGGCCATACAAATTTCCATAGCCACAAGCTCCGCCTGATTTGTGCATGTCACTTGTTAGCTAACATACGCATGGGTATAGATATAATTTAGCTAACATACGCTTTTTAAAATTGTTATTGGTCATACGTACCCATGGTGCCGGAAGCATCTTCGCCGCCGTAGAACGTAGCGTGGCCACCTTGCCAACCTCCGTCGTCTCCATGAGTTCCTTGGAGGAAGAATGATAAGCTGAGTAAAGATATAATTGAGATTATTGAATATTTGGAGGCTGATTTGATAGACATTTTGTTTTTGTTCGTTTAAGGGGTTGGTTATTTCGGTTGTGATATCGGATATGATTTGGTGAGAATCGTAAGACTGGTATGGAATCAAATGGAGGGATTGAGAATATATAGGGGTTCTCGAGTGTATTATTGTGGCAAGAGATAAATACTATTTAAATGTTTACTATATTAAGTACATTGGTGTGTCTCTTCTTTTGCCTTTTGGGGTATTCATATATTTTATTCAAGTGTTTCTGACCAATTTGCGAGAGAATTGTTCCTTTTATTCCTCGTTAAATCCCTATGTATCTCCTTGTTAAATTTTTGGTTTTTATATGCATCTAGTTCTTTTCTCCAGCGAAATCGAGCATCAAATTTCGAAATGGCCAAATGGGTGACTTGTGTGGATAACTAGAAGCAAAGTCAACAATGTATGCCACCGTTAATCTTGGGCAGAGTAAGATACTAAGATTATTGTTATTATTTTATTTTTTTGTTGCGGGCAGATTTATATTTGTATTGTAATATGTTTATGTAAGAAATAAAAGAAAAATGTATGGATTTATATGATATAAAGATCAAAGGGGACTTTGAAGGTTGTGACTTGTGGCCACATGCAAATGTTGCGGTTAGACCAACTTCGATTCCTAATCAAGTGGCCCATACTTGCACATGCTTCAATACACGAGTATTTATTAATTTGTCTCGTCTTTCATTTTACGTTGGTCATAAGATCATATAATTTATTCTTGTATATTTGAAATGAAGGTATTTTTTGTTGTTGATAAAATACTATTTTTGTTCAGCTCACCTTAAACTTTAAGAAATGTAACCAGATCAAAGTTTTAATCTTGCAGTTGACTATATAAAGATATTAGATAACATTCAATATTCACCAAATCAATAATTGGCGTGTTAATTTATATGATGCATTCGACGTTATAGAGATATTCCACAAACAACTACGTCTACAAGATTTTTTTTTTTCATTTGTTAAAAATGAGCTAATAGTCATGGTTCTTTAGAATATTTAAATTGATCTTGTTATTAAAATGAGCAAACATGCCAATGATGAATTGATACTATGCTATACTATGCTATGCATATGACAACAACTAGTTAAAAAAAAAAAAAAAAAAAAAAAAAAAAAAAAAAAAAAAAAAAAAAAAACAACTAGTTCTTTAATTTAATACATCGTGCCTATTTTTATTTGTACTTTATGTGGAGCTACTTATTTTATTTTATTTTTCCAAGTCTTCAGTCGATTTTTATATTTATTGAAATGATATATTATGATCATTTTGATTTTTATGACAATATCAGTTTAGTGATTGATTAGCTCTGAAAATCAAAAGTTTTCACGATCCGAATACAGGTGTGTGACAAAATATTCCAATATTGTTAGGGTTTGGGTTTTTGATTACGAATATTAATTGTTATGCTTAGCTATTTAATTAACTGGATTGACTAGACAGGCCACTAATACATTTAAAAAAATAGAAAGTGGGTCAGTCGATAGCCCTACCATGTTACAAGCACATGCAAAGACTTCTACGTTTAAGGCTCTCATGCATTTCTCTGATACGTCATTTTCTTGGCCCCTTTAATCCTTTATACATCCCATTAGTTAGTTACTCTCCTGTATATGCCTATAATGTGATCAACTAAATACAGCCATATATGGGGGACTTTGTGATTCCCTAAAAAATTAGAAATGTATTATGTTTTTCAGAGAACAAACAAGGATTTTTGTAAGAAAACTACAGTATGTTTCGCAAATTTAGGACTAGCTAGCTCTACCAAAAGTTTAAAGACCGTTTTTTTTTTGTCAATAACATGCAATACGTAAGTTTAGACTCGAGTGATAACACAACTGCATAAATATTACAAATTCAATGTTATTTTACAATGATTTTTTGGGAAAGTAAATTAAAGAGAGCAAAATTAGTTCAACTCAGACAATATGTCACACCATAAAAAATTACTACCATGCTAAAAGTATTCATAATTTATGACTAAAATACCTTTGCATATATTAATTTCTTAATTCTAAGAAGCTATAGCCTTAATAAAAAAAACATATGTTAATATGTGCTCATTTTCATAAATATTTTTCTTGACTGAAATCATATCGCGATACTTCACATAAATGTTGTTCTATGTAATATAATCAAATTTGCAGGCAGATAAATGGAAACGTGAGATTTTATACAGTTATATCAACTTACAAAAATCACTCTGTTTTTAGGGCCAAATTTGAAATAAAATCCCATCAAGGAGAAGAAGATTATGAATTTTTCAGTTGATATATACTATATATTTTAGATCGACAGTGGGATTAGCTTTACTTTTGAAAACTACCGTCTTCTTTTTGGTAAGATTTTCTTGACAAAGAATCTTTTAGTGGTTGGTCGAATCTTAATTTAATAGGTAAAGGTTTACTCTCAGTGTATACTAAATTAATCGACCGACTGTAAGATTTTACATATTTTAATTTCTTTGTTAACTAAAATTTCGACTACATTCATTGCCAATGAGACAATCATCTATTTTTGAAGCTGGATAAGAGCAAGAATCAATTGATGCAAAAACTGCTGAATTGTATCCACAAAAAGGTCACGTGAGGTCTATCCAAAGATGACCAAAAGAAAAACTAAAGGGACCATACTTTAAGTAACCATCACAAGGTTTTTGTCTATTTGTTGCCCCAAAACTGTTGGGACTGTCATAACTACGTGCCTGAAGAATGGTTATGTCCAAAGAGAGAACGTCATTTCAATGACCCAACTTCTAAGAGCCGACACCAAGATAAATAACCTTCAAGTGTTCTTAAGCTTTTCTCAAGATAGAGTTGAGAGATTCTCATGTGAGTATTTAATTTTGTTGTTTGGTAGTTAGGGTACCTTATAAGTGGCCTCAACATGGCTAGTTTGGTTCATGTAATTCGCGTCTTGACCCGGTTTAACACGTAACCTTGGTCTAGTTTCTAAGCTTAAGGGGTATTTCTCAAAATCTCCATATATATGTTCCTACGAAACTATGTCGGTTTAAGAAAACTGAAAAAATACATAGTGATTTCATTTCAGACATTAGGGTTCTAATTGGAGTCTTGAGAAGCTTGTGCTTGAAGCAAAAGTAATGTGGAACTATAAAAGTAGCCAACAGGCCCAACAAAGAAGAAATTTCCTACAAATTAAATTTACTGGAAATGAAATAACACAAAGTGATGTAGGAGACCTGCAAAACATAAGCACCTTCTGATCTGGTTCAAGGCAAAGCCAAATCCAAATTCAACCATCTATTACAGGGATGATTAAAGAAGCAACTAGGGAATCAAGACAACATAAAGAAACAGAAATATGATCTGTTTATACTTCAGTAGCTCCCCTCGAAGAACAAGATGAATCAGGAAACAGAGAAATCAGACAAGTTAAAACACCTGTGGTCTCTAAAGTTGAAACCCCAAAACCCCCAAAAAGAAACCAGTTTTACAGAATAAAAAATGAATCAGACTGTCACGAAGATGTTACCTTTTTAGCTAAAGATTTCAAGGGAGAGCAAAAGAATAGGTTTATCGACAAAGCGGAATCTGGGAAATGCAGCCTCACATGGTGCTGCTACTTTCACTGACGGTGTCAGACCTACCAAAGTTTGAGCCTCTGCCACAGCTGCTAATGTCAAGCCCCTGTAACCGGCCAAGAGGGTCTTCATGCATTGCCTCTGAATAGGAATGAGATTGAGCCGGGGCATTAGAAGTAGCGTGATGCATAAGCTGATGAGCGGTGGGAGGGTTTGTGCGAGAAGATTGGTTCTGGTTTTGGTTGTTGTTGGGCTGGAAGAGATGAAACTGATGAGTCATCTGTTGCAGATTTTGAGCATCGGTTTGTTGCTGATGATGTTGAAAGAAGGATTGTTGTGGTTGATGCTGATATTGCATGTGTGCCATTCCGAGGTTATAAGCATCAGCGGGTGAGACTTCTCCCGTGGCAAATTTCAGCCTCTCAACTTCCTTTTTCAGTTGCTCGTTCAGTGCTGCATAGGGAAGAATCATCGATAAATGACCTTAAAACCCAAATAATCATATAAAGTGAGGGAGGGAGAGATTAATCCATACCATCTCGCAACTTAGCTTGTTGTTCCATGACCTGTAAACGAAGCTTGAGCTCTGTATTCTCAGATGACAAACCAGTTGTGTCTCTCTGTAAGAAGCAAGTTATTAGGCCGTAGATGAGAAACTGAATGTTATTGCAGTAACTGCAAAATATGCAAACAAGGAGAATGTTACTGCAAATGCAGTGTATTGAATAAGAAACCTGGAACAAAGACAATTGTGCTGATAGGGTAGTAGCTTCAGTTTGCAAGGTCTGAACTTTCCTCTCGAGCTCCAAGATATACCGAGCCTTCCTCTCTTTCGAACGAGCAGCAGACTGTCGATTAGCAATTATCCTGCACAGAGTACATGAGACAGGATTAGACAGCAGAATGTTTCCACTCAATGTTGAAGAGTTTAGAACAGCTTAGAGAAAGTTTTCTCGCGGCAGACATTTTTTTTACTATAAGTCACAAGAACATTCATGCAATTAAGAGTGACTATCATCAAAGGTTCATCCCAGCTACAGATCTCAGAGATTACATTGGATCGCCCTTAACCCTAGTGACAAAGATCAAATCCCACACAAAGCTAATTCCCAAACTTATTTGAACCACCAAAGTCACTTGAAACTATAACTTTCAATTCCAAACAGTTGACTACTAAAAGTGAATGTGAAAAAGGGATTGAAAGTTTGAATGTTAAAGACTTAAAACTTATCCAAGCCATACCACACAAAAAGTCATCATTAGCTAGGATCTCTAACCAAACATGAGTTGAAGAACAAGCTAGAACCGACCAATCAAACATAAGCTAGTACAAAAAAATTTAGTTGGGGGCCATAAAATCATCATGAAAGAGACACATTCCCACAGAATTCAACTTGGGATTTAGACAAAAAAAAAGCATACTTATGGGTCCCTCATGGTTTCTCTCTCAGCAGGAAAGACCTAAAATTGAAAAAGCAGCACAGTAGAAGCTATAACTAAATTTCAGTTAAAAATCAGTTATCGT